CCCCGGCCCCCGACCTCGCGCGCGCCGCGTCCAGGGGGAGCCGGGCTGCGGCATCCCAGGCTTCCCGGTGGCGGCTCCTGCAGCCCCTCTCTGCCGACCCCTCCTCCCTTTCTTCCTCCAGCCTCCCCTCCTCTCCGTTCTTCCGGCTCCTGGTTTGTGAAGGAAGCTGGAGGCGGTGGGTAGGACCTGGCACAAGGTGCTGGAGTGCCCCCCATCTGCCTGGGGACGCGTACTTTCTCGGCACCGAGGTCCCTGGCATCCCTGCTCCTGCGGATCAGCCGGGCCACGAGTGTCCGGTCCCCGCCGCACGTGTCCGCGTAGCTAGGCGCCTGGGCGCGGAGGCAGGAGCCCCGGCCCCGCGCACAAGTTTGCATCCCGCCGCCTGGGGGCCCGCAGCAGGGCGCACCTGTCGGGGGAGCGGGGCCGCCACGCGGGCAGCCTTGCAAAGTTCTGCGTGCGTCCTCGGCTGGGGGCTTCGCTCGGTGTCGGCTGGGCCGGCCTTGAGGAGCCCCCCCACCCACCCCCTGCCCTTGCGTGCCGGCTCGGGCGTGGGGGTGGCGGGTTAGACTGCCGGGCGCCCCTGCCGCCGCCCTGGGGTGCACGGCCCACTGTCTGGGCAGGGCCACCTCAGCCAGTGCGTGCCCGAGCGCCGGCCTGTCCGTGCGGTTTTCGGCAGCAGGACCTTCTTGGGTCCTCTGCGGGGAGGGAGTGACGGGCTGTTCCTCCAATTCCTCCGGGAAGGAGGGGGCTGGCGACACCGCGGACGCCGCCTTTGTCTGCAGGCACACTTTGCCTAGGTAGCCGGGGCTCGGGGAGGTGAGCGGGGCGCTGGTCCTCCCGGGTTCCAGGGCTTTCCCAGCCGTTCCCGGCGGGGCCGTGGGAAGCCGGCACGTGGGTGTGGCCGGCACTGCCTGTGCCTCGCTGGGAGGCGGCGGGAGGAGCTGCGTGGCCAGCGCCTCCCCGGCGGTCTTAACCCGGGGGCACCGCCTCTAGCCCTGCTCGCAGGCGGGCACCAGCCCCCGGCAGGGTGCTGGGCCGGCTTGGGCGTCCCCTGCCCCTTCCCTTCGCACGGGCCCGCCCAGGGGCCGCAGCGCCCCTTGTGCGTTTAAGCTCCCTAGGGGAACGCGACCCAGGACCCGGGGCCCCTGTGCCGCAGGATCGTGCGGAGAAGGTGGGGGTCGGGAGTCCTGCGGAGGAAGCACGCGGCAGGCAGGCAAGCAGGCTCCCGGGATGGCGGGGCAGGGCGCCCGGAGGCCGAGCTTCCCGGAGAGGCGAGGCTGCCAGCTGCTCTTTCCGACCGAAGCTGAGGCTGCGGTGCCCGAGTGTCGGGCGGACTGAAGCAGCCTGCGTCTCTCCCCACCCCTCCCATGTGACGGGCTTGGAGACACCGGCCCAATTCCCGTGGCCGGAAGATGTGTTTGTGTGGGGCCAGGGGTCAAGTAACGTTGGCACATACTTGGAAGTGTGTAGGGGCGTGCGGGCGGGTCAAATGATGCCGTGGAGGAGGGGTGGGAGAAGCCTGGATGGGGTGCCGCGCACGTCCCGGCCTCACCTTCCCAAGGGCTGGCCAGGGACCCACACTTGTCCTTCCACCTGGGTAGTCCCGCACTTCCGGAAGTGCTCCCGGTGTCAGAATCGATCCCTGGGACCCCTGAAGCAAGAGACCATTGTAGCCTCCCAGTGGCCCCGTAAGGGTCCCAAGTCTCAGAAAGAACTTGGGAGTGGTCGGGCTGCCGGGAGGTGGCAGAGCTGGGTCTCAAGCCCAAGTTCTTGGGTGCCAAGTCCAGATTCCCTTTTCATTATGACACAGGCGAGCCGCTCGGAGCCGGGCTTAGCTGAAGAGGGAAACCTGGCAGCACTTCCACGGGTGGCTGGGAAAGCGGGGAGCACTGCGGTTCCCTGTGGCCTTGGGCTGGGGGTGGGGGGCAGGGAGGGTTTCCGCAGATGGCTGCAATGGCTACTGCAGTTCTCTCTTGTGCCCTTGAGTGGCTGGCCTTCCAGGAGGGCGGTCCACACCCCGCCTCTCATTTCCTCATCTTCCCACTTCTGCTCTTCCCAGTTTGCTTCCCTTTCTTTTCCTGCGTCTGGAGTAGAGGAGGAAGATATGAGACTGAATATGGGAAACTTGCTGTCACTGGCTTTGCCGTGAAAGGGAAGCCTGCCCGCCCACACCCCACTGGTGCCTCTTCAGGTCTCCTTGGCTTCTTGTCCCCTCCCTAATGGTGGCAGGCTTCACTGGCCGATATCCCCTCCCAGGCAGAGGTGCTGCAGTTAAGTTTAAAGAGTCCCTGGCTGGCCCAGAGCTGCCCCTGGCCTTCTGGCCTACCCAGACTGAAGCTCACCTACCAAGAGCTTTAGCTCAGGCAGATCTCACTTCTGCCATCTACCAGCTGCCTGGGTTTTCTAACAATAAATACTACTCAAAGTGCTTTACATATGCAACCACTTGTTCTGGGGTTTGTACTACAACCCACTTTGTTGTACAGATGCCGGAGAAGCCCAAACACCATCATGCAGGTAGAAAGCAGCACAGCTGGGATTTGAACCCCTATTGTCTATCTGTGGAGCCCTGGTGGTATAGTGGTTATTATGCCTTGGGCTGCTGGATTACAAGGCAGGCAATTCAAAACCATCAGCCCCTCCTTGGGAGAAAGACAAGGCTTTCTACTCCCATAAAGAAGTATAGTCTCAAAAGCCCACAGAGACATTGCTATCCTGTCCTAGAGGGTTGCTATGAATTGGAATTGATTCGATGACAGCGAGTTTAGATTTGTTTAAAGTCTATCTCCAGAATCTACAATCTTAAAAGCAACACTGCTATTGAGTTGATTCTGATGTGGCCCTGTAAGACAGAGTAGAACTCCCTAGAGTTTCTGAGGTGGTAAATCTTTCCCAGAATAAGACTGCCTCATATGTCTCTCCTGAGGCAGCTGGTGGATATGAACTGCACACCTTTCAGCTAGCAGCCCAGTGTTTACCCGCTGGGCCACCAGGGCTCCCACAGTTGTCGAGGTCATGCTAAGCAAGAGGAAATGAGTGTTGTTAGTGGGTTAGTCTCCTTGCTCTGAGGCTGCCACATCGATTGACTGGAGACACTGCTGCCTCTTGCCTGACCCCACATCTCCTGCTTTCCTCTGCCAGATGCCGGTGCAGCTGACAACAGCCCTGCGTGTGGTGGGCACCAGCCTTTTCGCCCTGGCCGTGCTGGGTGGCATCCTGGCAGCCTATGTGACAGGTTACCAGTTCATCCACACAGAGAAGCACTACCTGTCCTTCGGCCTGTACGGCGCCATCCTGGGTCTGCATCTGCTCATCCAGAGCCTGTTTGCCTTCCTGGAGCACCGGCGCATGCGGCGAGTCAGCCAACCCCTGAAGCTGCCCTCACCTCCACGGTCCTCGGTGGCCCTCTGCATTGCCGCCTACCAGGAGGACCCGGACTACTTGCGCAAGTGCCTGCGCTCGGCCCAGCGCATCGCCTTCCCAGGTCTCAAAGTGGTGATGGTCGTGGACGGCAATCGCCAGGAGGACACCTACATGCTGGACATTTTCCACGAGGTGCTGGGTGGCTCTGAGCAAGCCGGCTGCTTTGTGTGGTCCAGCAACTTCCACGAGGCTGGGCCAGGCGAGACAGAGGCCAGCCTGCAGGCAGGCATGGCCCGGGTGCAGCAGGTGGTGCGGGCCAGCACCTTCTCGTGTATCATGCAGAAGTGGGGGGGCAAGCGTGAGGTCATGTACACAGCCTTCAAGGCCCTCGGTGATTCGGTGGACTACATCCAGGTAAGGGGGACTTCCCAGAGGGCTTCCTGGGGAGGGGGTGGCATGTGCATGTGCCTAGCCAGGCAGGCTGTTGCCCCACCAGGAAGATGAGGTCCAATTTAGAGCCCTTGGGTTTGTTGTGCGCGCCCCTTCTCATGATGAGCAGAGATGGCAAGGTGAAATGGCTCTGAGCCGCAGGCCTAAGCTGGGATTTGCCCTGAGACTACACACAGGTCTCTGGCCCTGGTGTCCTAATACTGAGAACTGCCAAGGAGTCTCTCGCCCTTACTTTGTACTGGCCACTAGCTTTTAGTCCGCCTCATGCTCCTAGGCTACAGATATCCAAATTTACTTGGCCTCCCTTCCCCTCCCCACCTCTTTTGCAGAAACAGAATTGCTCAGTGGCCCCACCACACACACAATGAAAAACTTCTGTACTATAGCCCATGCTCCAGGATAAAGTATAGTGCCCCCCAAGGGGTGGGGAAACACTGTCCTAAGAGGTAATTATATGGAATTGACTGGATGGTAGTGAATGAGAGAAGGTGAAAGGGGACCTGGTAGCACTGTGAGTTAAGCTTGGGCTGCTCAACAGCAAGGCTGGTAGTTCAAACCCACCAGCCTCCCTGGAAGAGAAAGGTGGTCTCCTTCGTACCAAGTCAAGTGTCAGGAACCTCAGAGGTAGTTCCACCCCTAGTTGGGATGGGCCTGATGGCAGTGGGTTTGGTTCTTGTCTTTTTAGAGAGAGCGAATCAAGCTCAGCGAGCCTAAGTGACTGCCTGATGTCCCACCGCCAAAAAGGTGCCGGGCCAGTCTGTCCTAAGTGTGCTGTCACCATTAGGTTATCATGCCTCACCACTGGCAACATGGGGGAGAGGGGGTGGTGGGGTAGCCATTTCCTCTGTAATTATGGCAAAAATCAAAAGAAATTCTGTTCAAAATGCTGTTCTAGTCACAGCCCTAACACTTGTGTTATCTTAATTCATATTCACTACTTCTAGCTCTAAGATTCATGGCAATAGCTACACAGAACTCAGGCAATACTTACAGTTAAAAGGGTTTATTAGAGAAGCCAGTCAATAGGTTACCGCAAGTCCGGATCAACAAACAGGTAAGGACACAGGCGTGGTGTCCTCAGCCAGCAGCCTAGGCTGCCTCTGGTTCTCAGCCTCTCAGCAATGTGGCAGCCAGCTCTCTCCGGCTCTTCATCTCTGAGCCATGGGGTCCCACGACCTTTGCCTCCACAGACCAGAAAGCCAGCCCACCTGCCACTCTGCTCCACAGTTGCATAGTGCTGGGCCAGAGAAGGAGAAAGGTACCTTATAGCTTTGGCACTGTGCCTCAGTCCCCCTGCCACAGCCTGTGATGCACCGGTCTCGACTTCCGCCACTTGAGACAGGTCTTGAATGTGCTCTTCCCAAGTCCTCAGGTTTCTCTCTTCATTGCTGCCTCTAAGATGGCTTATCCTTACAGGCAGGGGGTGGTGATAACGAAAACTGACCAATCCCCTTTGTGTTATACATGCTTTATCTGCATAGCTCCACCCAGTCATTTGGTGGGAGTTCCAGAGACTTGAATAGAAGAAATTTCACTCCACCATGCACCACGCCCCCCTTCCCCTGTTAAGCACTCCTGGGAGGTGGGCCGTGTCCTGCCTGTCCAACAACTGCTGACCCCCACCTGGACACGTTAGGCTGACGAGGTCAACACTGCACCCAGAGGCTCCCAAAGGGTGACAGCCCGTACATTCTATGACCAAGTACAAGCAGAAGCCAGGGCTTGATTTCTGGTCCAGCAGCTGCACACCTCCCTTCCTCCTCTTTGCACCTGGCAGAGGGTTTGCCCAGCATCTGACAGAAGCGTAAAGGAGCCATGACAATCCTGGCATGTCCCAACACAGTCTTGCTGACAGCATGCTGAATCTTCTAATATAATTCACAACCTTATCCTGCACCCATTTAAAAAGAGCCTGGTGGCACAGTAGGTTAAGCCGAAAGGTCAGGAATTTGAACCCACCAGCCACTCTGGAGCAAGCCGAGGTTGTCCACTTTCACCAAGATTTACCATCTCGGAGAGGGTCGTTATGAGTCAGAATGATTACAAGTGGCCCACGCACGTGCCGGGGGAGGGCTGCCAGGACCAGTCTGACTGGCAGCAGCTGCAGCCAGCTCCCAGACCCATTTAGAGCTGGATGCAGGCAGGAACGGCCGTGACCATGCCACAGCCCCGGTTTGAGACTTGGCCTGGGCAGTCATGTTGAGGCCGCTGCGAGGGACTGGCTGTTCGGTGCCCCGGGACACCATTTGCAGGAGGCTTTTTTTTTTTTTTCTTTTAAAAATCATTTTATTGGGGGCTGGTACAACTCATCATAATCCATCCATCCATCCATTGTGTCAAGCACATTTGTACATTTGTTGCCATCATCATTCTCAAAACATTTGCTTTCTACTTGAGCCCTTGGTATCAGCTCATTTTTTCCCACCCTCACGAACCCTTGATAACTTATAAATTATTTTGTCATGTCTTATACGTCCAACATCTCCCTTCACCCACTTTTCTGTTGTCCGTCCCCCAGGGAAGGGGTTATATGTAGATCCTTGTGATCGGTTCCCCCTTTCTACCCTACCTTCCCCTTTCCCTCCTGGTATCACTACTCTCATTATTGGTCTTGAGGGGTTTGTCTGTCTTGGATTCCCTGTGTTTCCAGTTCTTATCTGTGCCAGTGTACATGCTCTGGTCTAGCCTTATTTGTAAGATATAATTGGGATCATGATAGTGGGGGGCGGGGGGGGCGGCAGGGGAGGAAGCATTAATGAACTAGAGGAAAGTTGTATGTTTCACCATTGCCATACTTACAGGAGCTCTTCACTTGTCTCTGAGGAGTATCTAGCTCAGTGTGCCTGTTACCTTGATCACAGTGACTCAGTCCCCCTTTCTACCCAGAACTCTGAAAATAGTGTCAGGCCATTTTTGTGGAGCTTGGCTCTGTCAGGACTACAAATGTACCCAGTGCTCAGAATCTCCCCTTCTCCCCTCTCAGGCCCGGCCCATGGTCTCCCTGCCAGCCTGGCCGCTGTAAGGCCTGGTGTCTGCTGTTCCCTGAACTGTCCTGCCACAAGCCTCTCACTCGCTTTGCGTGGCACAGCCAGCTCTGCTAGAGGCTGGAAATGAGTCCGGTGAAGGGGGTTCTGTCCCTCAGGCAGTGTGTGCTCCTGTGTCAGTGCCCTACCCCGGCTGACTGACCGACGGTGCACTTTGCAGGTGTGTGACTCGGACACGGTGCTGGATCCAGCCTGCACCATTGAGATGCTTCGAGTCCTGGAGGAGGATCCCCAAGTAGGGGGCGTCGGGGGAGATGTCCAAGTAAGAAATTACCAGGGCTCATGGGGGTGGGTTGGGTTGTATGTGGCCTTTTGTTCCCTGATCCAATTGGGTGTGCCTGAGAAGCCGGCATCTTGGCTTGCTAGTACTGGGGAGTGGGCTCCTTTTGGCATTTTCAACTGATAGAAAAGGCATCACTCGCTACCCACCTAAGCCCTCTCCTGCTCTTGTCAACCTTGGGCAACAACTCCCCAATAGGTGTGGAGAGTGCCTCTACCACTGGGAGGGGCCCTGGGCCCCAGGGAAGGGTGCTTGTTGGCGGGTGGCGCAGTGTATAAGCCGGTGGTAGCTCCACGGAAGTTGGCATGGAATGAGGCAGGGTGGCAAGTAGCTCCAAAGCGAGACCCTCAAGAGGCCCTCCCTTCCCTAGGGGAACTTGGGTGATTTAGACACCAGTTCTTCTCCAGAGGTAACCCACTATGCCTTCTCTCGAAACTTCTCATCTTCCCTGCTTGGCCAGAATGGGGCTGCGTGATGGTTTGCAACTTTCCCTGTTCTCTGCCACCACCACCAGCTGCCTCCTGAGATGGAAGGTGGCTTTAGTCACTGAAGCAACTGAACTGGGAGAGCAGTTGACAGTGGGAACTAGGTGGGTGGGTGGGTGGAGGAGCAGGAGCTGGGAGAGTCGTCGGCTTCTCGGAGCCTTGGGTTTCCCAGGACTGGCTGAACTAGACAGGACCACCACTGAGTTTGATGGAGTGCAGGGCCACAGAGCCCCGGGGCTCTCCGCCGCCTCTGCTGGCCGCAGGATGGTGCTCGTGCCACAGGCCCAGCGTCTCTGGTTCCCTTGCAGATCCTCAACAAGTATGACTCGTGGATCTCCTTCCTGAGCAGCGTGCGGTACTGGATGGCCTTCAATGTGGAGCGGGCCTGCCAGTCCTACTTTGGCTGCGTGCAGTGCATCAGCGGGCCCTTGGGCATGTACCGCAACAGCCTCCTCCAACAGTTCCTGGAGGACTGGTACCACCAGAAGTTCCTGGGCAGCAAGTGCAGCTTCGGGGACGACCGGCACCTCACCAACAGGGTTCTGAGCCTTGGCTACCGGACGAAGTACACCGCCCGCGCCAAGTGCCTCACAGAGACGCCCACCAAATACCTCCGGTGGCTCAACCAGCAGACGCGCTGGAGCAAGTCTTACTTCCGGGAGTGGCTCTACAACTCGCTGTGGTTCCACAAGCACCACCTCTGGATGACCTACGAATCAGTGGTCACAGGGTTCTTTCCCTTCTTCCTCATTGCCACGGTCATCCAGCTCTTCTACCGGGGTCGCATCTGGAATATTCTCCTCTTCCTCCTGACAGTCCAGCTGGTGGGCATCATCAAAGCCACCTACGCCTGCTTCCTTCGTGGCAACGCAGAGATGATATTCATGTCTCTCTATTCCCTCCTCTATATGTCCAGCCTCCTGCCGGCCAAGATCTTTGCCATCGCTACCATCAACAAGTCTGGCTGGGGCACTTCTGGCCGGAAAACCATTGTGGTGAACTTCATTGGCCTCATCCCCGTGTCCATCTGGGTGGCAGTCCTCTTGGGGGGGCTCGCCTACACAGCTTACTGTCAGGACCTGTTCAGCGAGACAGAGCTAGCCTTCCTTGTCTCCGGGGCAGTGCTGTATGGCTGCTATTGGGTGGCCCTCCTCATGCTGTATTTGGCCATCATCGCTCGGCGCTGTGGGAAGAAGCCAGAGCAGTATAGCTTGGCGTTTGCCGAGGTGTGATGCAGCCTCGAGTAGGGCGGGGAAGAGTGCAATGGATGAGGGAGGGATGGGGAATGGAAGAGAAAAGCTAGGGCGGGAGGGAGAAGGGAGTGCCGTGTTTTAAACTTTTTTTTTTAATGGTTTAATGGACAAAAATGAAGTGCAAAAAATGATAACTGCAGTGTGGCCCGAGGCAGCTCTGCTTAGACCCCTCAAGCTAAGTCAGAGGGAGCTTGTGTGTTTCCAGGCTTCCTGTGGGCTTGCTTCTGCCCCTGGGAGAGATGGCCCCATCCTCCCCTGGGAGCCAGAAGAAATGGCAGAAGTGTGCCCAAATCAACCATGAAGTTCCCTTCAGTGAGGGCAATGACAGCTTGTGGGAAGGGTTCTCCTCCCCCATTGGAACACCAGCTCATCATGCCTGGTCCCCCTCCTTCATCCAGTCATCGATGCAATAAGATTGTGCCTGAGATACAAGGCCCAGAAGCCTGGTCTTTGGGCCTCAGAAACAGGGTCCACGAATGGTGCTTTATCACGGGATATACCCGTCCCGCATCTCCTTGTCCCAGAGATGAGCCCAGCTGCAGGGAGTCTGCATTTCATGGTGTTCACACATGTTCTCATGTCTGTCGTCACAGAGGCAAGTTAGGCAACACAGGGAGACTGGTGGTGTGAAGGGCAAGGGCTACCATGGAGGCCTCAAGCAGTGTGTTCCAGGTGGCAAATGCCCAGCTTCTGAAACCATCAGTGATCTCAGCTGGGGGAAAGGGTGTCTTGGCCCCCTCCTACACCACAGGAATGTGAAACCACAGCAGGCCCAGAAAATCACCCAGGGCTCAGGTGCACACACTCCTGAGTCCCTCTTAAATTCAGCCCCAACCTGAGTCTAACACAGCCACCTCAACTCATGTCTTTCAAAGGTCTGCTTCTCTGGCTAACAACTACCGCCTCCATCCTCATCACGGCTGTTTCTCAAGGTGGCACCTGGGGCACAACCTGGGCTTTTGTGGGTCCCTCTGCAGTAGGCAAGCCTGCTTTCTGCACACAGGAAGAACTATCAGGAACCTCGGAACCAAACTGGCTGCTATCTATGGAACTGCTGGACACATGCTTGGGCCAACGGGTAGCGTGCGTGGCTTTCAGTCTACAGTTCTCGACAATCATCTCCAGTGAAAAGCTTTACCGTGTTCTCGATGTGAATCCTCGAACCCTCGCTGGTCCTCTTTTACGGTCCGTTCTTGGGGGAACTCTTACAGCCAGGTTCTCGTCACTATTGCATTTGCTTGCTGCTTTCCAGAGACTAAGCTAGAAGATGGACTTGTTTCCTGAATCTGAAGGTTCTTACTTTACTTCCCTTATCACTCTAGAGGCTGCTCCACTCCCAACTGGTCTTTCCCTCTGCTTTTTTTTTTTTTTTTGGAGGGGGGTGCGGGTTAGGGATTCGGTGGTGGGGAACACTTTCTAGTGATTTGCAATCCAGACTATATTCTCAGCTCTTGGGTTTGAAACCTGGGATTTTCACCAAGGCTTTGGCTTGGAACTTAAGAGGGGCCAGTTAACCCCCGAGAGTCAGCGCTAACGCAGAGGGTCACTGAGGGGGCCAGCCTCTTTGTACCCAGGTGCTTCCTATAAAAGAATGAAATGTGCTCTGAGCCATAGATAGGCCAATTCTGGTGCTCTCTGCATCTCCCATAAACGCCTCGGATTTCCAGGTGCAGCTCGTCACTGTTGCACCACCTTGAGTTTCTGACCGCTCTGCTTGGTTGGTGGTGGGCCCAGTACATGAAGGCTGGGCAACAGCAGCAGGCGTTTGCTAAAGGCAGTTGTTCCAGGCTTTTCTGTGCCCTTGCTGGCCAAGAAGTAAACTATTTTGAGCATTACAATGGAGGAAATCCGGTCAGCCTACTGCAGAGCTCAGACTTCACGAAAGGCTTGTTTTGCCTCAGCTTTTACTTGATGCTTAGACGATGGACTCTGAATGGAGAACCCCCGCTGTCCCCCCAACTCTGCCTGGCACCGTAGTTGCCGACTTTCCTCGGACCAAGAGAAGGCAAGTACACGTAGCAGTAGGCTTACGACGCTTGACCTCGACTGGGTTTGCTAAGTTATTTTGTACGATTTTCAGCAGAAAAACAACCAAACTGGGTCTTCAGCTTTATCCCCATTTCTTGCAAGGGAAGAGCCTTTATACAGTTGGATACTTTTTGGTTTTTCCTCATTTTTGAGACTTTTAACCCTCTTTTGTATTATTTCTACAGTAATTTGTAAACATATTTATTTTTACCTGCTTTTTTTACTTTTCAGGTCAAATTTTTTTATACCAATTTGTTGAAATAAAGATTCTCATGTGACACTGGTATCTTGAGTGGCTTCCTCCCCCGGGCTTATAGTTAAAACAGGGAACCCAGTAAGAAGGCTGAAAACCGCATGCTTGCTCCTCTAGCGCAGTGCATCTTACCCCAAAAACAGTGGGTCACCTGCCTAGCCTTTGGGAAGGGTAACAAACCAAGAGTGACAACAGCAGCCCTCTCATCCCTTTTATTAAAGAAACAGTAAGAAAAGATACAATGCAGGAAAGACGGCAATTGTCCTTGACACCAGGGTGAACAAAAGCACAGTGATTTTTCTCCCTTCTCTGTCCCACCCCCACCCGTTTCAACATTCCCTCCCCGTCAGTTTAGATTTTGAGGTTCTTTGATTGGGAGTACCAGTGGAGAGGGAGCTGGAGGAGCAGTAGGCCTGAATTCTGGCCACCTCAAAGTCCCCGGAGAAGGGAGCATCCGGTGGCAGGAAGTGTATTTGGTGGGTCTCTGAAGTGGTGGCCCACCTTCCCGGTTTCTGTGTTCAAGCCCCCAGGGAAATGTATGGCAGTAGAGGATGACCAGGTTCAAGCTGCCCAGGGCACAGCTATCGAAGCACGGTCCATTCACCATTGCAAGGTTTCTATAGAGCAGTGAGCCGATTCTCCAGTGGTGAGCAGGGGAATACATATAAATTGGGACCTGCAGGCCAATGTATCCCTGAGGAAAAGTCCACAAGAACGATTCAAGAAACTAGTTAAGAAATGAGGGGCAGAAAGCTGTGGGACAAACACAGCAGACTTCTGCAAGGCTGGAGAGTTTCTCTCTCAAAGCTAGGAGCGTTCCGCCAGCCAAAGTCCATGTCCCACAAAAGCATTTCACCTTTACTCAAGAAATAAGCAGAGTTTGAAAAATATGGCTCCTAAGAACTTGAGCCTCAGCTATGTTCATCTGATCATAGCTCCAGATCTACCCTTTTACCTAAAGGGCAGCTTTGCCCAGAACAACTGTGCCCAGGCACCCAAGTGGTGCTGGGCAAAAATGCTATTTACGGTGGTAACATCCCATTTGGATACATCGTAGCCATTGGACCCCCTGGTCTGGGGAAAGCAGCTGGGTGTGTGCCAGGGAGGCCCCCCACCCTAGGAAATGGGACCAGAGTCTTGACTACAGGCCCATTCATCCTTGGAAAGGAAGCTGGGTTTAGACCCAGGGTCCCAGTTGGCCTTGCAAAGGGGGCTGGGTTAAGACCTGCAGGGCCTGCGGAAGAGCCCAGGGGCCCAGCAGCAGATCTGGAAAAACCCACTTGTCCAGGGCCTAATGGGCCAGTAGACCTTGGAAAGGTGGCTGAACTTGGACCCTGCAGGCCAGTGGCCCTTGAGAAGTTAGATGGGGTGGGGCCTAATGGCCCAGAAGCTCTTGGGAAAATTGTTGGACTTGAGCCCTGGAGGCTAGCAGACCTTTGAAAGGTAGTAGGATTTGAAGCCAATGAGCCCGAAGACTGAGTGAAGGCAGTTGGGTTCAGTCCCCCTGGACCTGTTCCCCTGGGGAAGGGGTTGGCATTTATTCCCACGGGGCCAGAGGGCCTTGAGAAATGAGCTGAATTAGGGCCCATGGGGCCAGATGCCCTTGACATGGGAGATGGATTTGGTCCTGGAAAGCCAATTCCTCGAGAGCTAGGACCAGCATTTGGGCCAATGGGGCCAGGGACTCTTGCCATGGAGGAAGGGTTTGTGCCCATGTTTCCAGAAGCTTGTGAGAAAGAAGCTGAATTTGCTCCCAAAAGACCTGCTGCTCTTAGAATGGGAGCAAGATCAAGACCTTGAGGTCCAGTCATTCTTAAGTTAAGACCAGACCCTGTGCCCAAGAGGCCACCACCTGCCCTGGTGTCTAGATTAGGGCCCTGACCTAGGCCACTTCCTCGTGGGTTGGGCCCAAGGCCTGGACCCAGGCCACCTGCCCTTGGGTTGGGCCCAAGGCCTGGACCCAGGCCACCTGCCCTTGTGCTGGGTCCAAGACCTGGGCCTTGAAACATCCCTGACCTGGGAGCAGGATTTGAACCCAAGAAGCCTGATCTCAAGTTGGGACTTGGTCCTGGGCCATGGCCATGGCCAACCTGCCTAGGATTGGGAGGACCATTCCCAGAGGACAAAAGGACACCTGTTCTCAAGTTGTGCCCAGGTCCAGAGCCCATGGGGCCGCCACTTCTGGAGTCAGGACCCGCTCCTAGGAGACCACTTGTCCTTGGGTTGGGCATAGGACCTTGGCCTGGGAGCCCTCCTAACCTTGAATTAGACAGCGGGCCTGGGCCTGGACCCAAGAGGCCACCAGGCCGTGGGAAAGAAACTGCGCTTGTACCAGTGAGATTCATCCCTCTTGGAAAGGAAGTCATACTTGGGTCACGAGCACCGGCAGGGAAGGGTGCTGGATTTGAAGCCAACGAGGCTGATGGAGTCGGAAAAGAAGAGGGGTTCCTTGGAAATGGGCCCAGATTCCCACCAAGTGAACCAGCCATGAGGAAGGGATCTGAGTTCCCACTCAGGGGGTGTCCTGTGCTCAGAACAGGACCCCCCTGTGGTCCCAGCGAACCGTCCAGCCGTCCTCGGGGTGGCAGCGGAGCACGGGTCCAAGGAGTTGGCCGCTCTCTGGGGAAAATCCGGGGTTCTTTCATACTTTCTTAGGGACGCTGGTGATAATGGGCTTGGGGCGGGTTTTGAAAAGGATCTTGTTTTTGATGAGTGCTGTCACGAGGTACTGGGTGCTAGTCTCGCAGCTGAGCTCATTGCAGTCCTGTTCTCCAGGCGTGTGTTTGATAAGGACGGCAAAAGGTTTCTCCAGGTGGATGATTTTCCCATACAGGATATGATGCCCCACGATCAGCACAGGGACTCCCTTTGGCAGAAGAAGGAGATGTTTGAGGTTCAGGGCAAGGTCGTTAACCCTCAGGTGCCTCCTGGAGCTGCTCTGGGACAGCCAAGGCTTGGTACCACCCTTCTCTGGTCTGGCTTTACCACAGGACAGCCCACCCTCATGCCTGTTCCAGACGTCCTAGCTCCACGTAAGAGAATTTCCACTGTTAGGAATGTGATCTTTTCCAGATTCCCCAAAGCTCAATTTCCCTGCTACTGCAGAGGGGAGTGGGAAGGGGGAGGGTGGCAAGGAGAACAAGCAGTTAGCTTAGCAGATTAGACTTTCACCAATCAACCTGAGGGTAGTCCTCCCTTTTGGTCCTGGGAACACCACCAGGGTGGAGCTCACTCTCCTGAGGCATTAGGCAGGGAAAGAAAACCCCCCTCACCTCAGTGGTGTAATGTAGGTCTCCCAGGAGGTTTCCAGCTAATCCGGTGCTGTAGCGAGCCTCGATCTCCCCCTGTAGCTCCATCAGCACCCATTCTGCCAGGCCTCCAGCCCCAGCACTGCAAGCAAAGGGCTGGCGGTTACAATATTTTTGTAGGGTGAAGGAGAATAGCATTCTACACCACTGTTCAAGGCCCAAAGGAGCTCTCTGTTGAGCACAAGGTCTTGGGGAACTGGGCAATACTAGGCACTGAGCTAGAGAGAGAACAGCCAGGACTTGTGGCAGATGCACCCGAGGAGCCTGCTTCTCCACAAACTTAGTGTTCTAATAATTCATGCTAGTGAAGCTGCAAATGTACTCACCTGGAAACAACAATTTGTACCATGAGCTTTCTGTCTTTAAAAAGCAACTGGCCACAAACTGTAGAATGAGAAAGGAGAGAGAAAGATATTTAGGATAGGAGTAACCACAGCAAATGGCAATCACTGTGCCAGGTCCTCATCAGACCCAGGGGCTCATTTGAGTCTCCCACTGACCACTGAGTTTTCAGTTCTGGTATTGATGTTGCACAGCGAGCTAAGGTGGCCTCAGATCACCCAAAAGGGAGCCATATCACAGTACACGGAGTTAACAGTCTTTATAAATGTGCACAAGGCCAGAGTGTTAGCACGTCAGAGCCAGGTAAGACATGCGCCCTGCAGCACCCATGCATTTAACTATTATGCCTACTTGCTTTTTCTCAAGGACATTCTGTTTGTTTGTTTTTTAATGAAGGGATTCTGTAAGAGTTTCTGTTTTTCATGTTCTAGCTCTTTGGTTTCAAAAATTCAAAAGGCTTCATTTAACTAAAAATAAGGCCAAGAAGTGCCCTCAGAAAGTCCTTGTGAAGGTAGATACCTTGACTTCTGATGCAACTCACACTGACCATCTTCCACTGAGCTAAGAACAAGCCATGTGTCAACTTTTCTTTTATACAACAGCACCACCTGGTGGCAAGTTGGCGCACTCTACGAGAATAGGTTACCCATGGGACACTGCCCAGAACTGGTTTCACTTTCAGGAAGGACAAGTGGGGGTAGTGGGGGAAGGAGGAGAGGGCAGAGCTTTTGGATAAGTCATTTCAATGTCTATGTGGCCTCTAGAGAAATGGCAACTAGTCCAGTATTTGACTGTATATTATAGAATGTTAACAGGGATTTTAATTGTACTCAGGTTTAGTAAACATCTGATTAAATAACTAAATACCTGTGCTTTTAGGTTAAGTGTTCATTTTGGGAGAATGAATCCCAGGCAAAGTACTCTATAAGCAGACTTCCTGGGCAGCACTCTCGTCTGGGAGCACTGAACACACTTGCAACTGTACTGTGGATGGAGCGCTGCACATGCATCATGACAGCTATGACGCAAGCACTGATCCCTGGTTTGCAGAGGCGGCTACAGAGGTATTGGGAGAGACTTAATTTGTCTGATGTCACCTTAGTATGTGCCAGGGCCAGCCTTAAGAATATATGCCACTTAATTTTATCTGCAATGGTAATCACGACTCATTTCGGTCTCCCCAGGGAAGAAAAGCCAAGTGCCAAGAAGTTAGGAGTCAGGGCCTCACCAAGCAGGCACTAGGTCCCTGGAAGAGCTGGTCAGAAGGCATCTACGAGTCGGCCAGAGTGTCTGCAGCAGCCCAGGTGCATGCACTGTGAAAATGCTTTTCTCTTCTAAGGCTCTTTGATGTGAGTCAGGCAACATTCCCATTCAGGAGGGCTCAATTCAGGGTCCAGCCTGTAGCTTCAAAATTACTGTGTCCATGCTTGGGTAACTTCCTGACTAGGGGCTAACAGCTTACTCATCCGACTCAACGATTGAAGGTCAAATATGGTATATGAGACAATAGACATCAGGCATTCTATTCAAATCGCTTATTTTTTAGAGGGTCAGATTTACAAAGCAGTATCTCCACAGCAAGGATGACTGGCAAAATAGATTTTTTAAAATGCTGTTAACTGGGAATCGACAAATTATGAGGTGTCTCAAGGTCAGTAAATGTATAGAGATTGAGAAAGGGTTCTTGTAAATAGGCCTTTGAGGCCCAGTGAAGTAGTCTGTTCTCCTTGAGGGTATATGGCAGTGAGGAACCAGTGATTTAAAGACAGGTAGTCTGAGAGGCCACACATGGAGGCCGGCCCAATCTGTTCTAGGGAGCTGAAGAGATTTCTGAAGTTACCGAGATCGAATACAGCACTTTCCTCTCCTGTTCATGTGCCTGGGCAGGAGAGGAAAGAACCTGACCATGTGACAAATGGGAATGCAGAAATGTTTTCGGGGCACCATCCACTTCCTGCACCATTTCCTGTTAGAAAAGGACTTCAGAACTGTGGCCCAAGGCAGCCAAGGGACCTGGCTATCTGGGAGCTGGGACAGAGTATCTATCCACACAGACCAGTCTTTGTTGGTGATTCCTCGAGCACACACCATTACCACGTAGGGAGGCCTGAGAACAGGGATTCTGTGGCTGTCTCATCTTTCTGCTGCTGCTATACTCAGACTTGTAAATGTTTTTGATACCAGGCCTACTAGGATGCTGCCTATGTGTGTACAAAGTGAAAATGACCAGTTTATAGGTGCCCAGTTTTCGGAACCCATGGGCCAAACTGGCTACATTTATGTGCATGAAGGTTTATTTTCTAAGTTAGCAAGAAATGTAGAGAATGGTATCTCTTTAGTCAATTAAAAACTCCTACTTTAGCACCCTTAATAGCCTATAATTATGATGTCTGAATTTTATTCTCTTTTCTATGTTCCTGGGATGCCCACTCTCAGATGTTCTTAGGGCTGGAGTAGGGAGGGCTGCCTGGGCACTTTCCCAAGGGCACACCTAGTGGACATGGCAGGAACTCTGTATTTCCTTTAGTGTCCAGGTGATTAAAAAGAATCTAAGAACATGCAGCGTAATCTGCCCCCATGCCCTCAAGTGTGGGCGGGGAGAGGGGACGACAAAAAAAGAAGGGTAAAGAAGTATAATACAAGTCCTCACAAAAAAACCCCCCAAAACACAAAACCTGTCACCAAAATTGATTCTGGCTCATAGTGACCATATAGTACAGCGGAGAATTGCTCCTGTGGGTTTCTGGGACTATAAATCTTTACAGGAGTAGAAAGTCTCACTTTTCTTCAGCAGAAAGCGACCAATGGTTTACAAACTGCCAACCTCGTCATTAGCAGTCCAATCCGTGCCCACCACGACACCAAGGGTAATAATAAATGGAAGAGTGGTATAATGAAAAGTCTCTGTGTAACAGAACGATCTTTAAGTCTGCTGCCCCAGTCAATGTCTTCTAAGCAAAATGCAAAGCTATCCTGAGTAATTTCTGGGGGTATGTTTTAAGAGCTGGCTTATAAAAGCACTGTAGCTAGGAAGGACCCTTGGGGAGGGAAAAGCATGAGCACACAGTCATTAACTAGAAGGGAGCCAGTGGAAGAGCTAGCCAACCCTGGCACTCCTCCCAATTGAGGCCTGAGTTCAAGCTCACATTTAACTAGGACCAAAGGACTTATATTTGATTATGGACAACAATTCAGGGCTGATATATATCTGTAGAGCCTGGAAGACATTTCTGCAATGCCACAGCTAAAGTATACTCTTTGAGGGATGGAAACATGCACAAAAAAACAAACTTCTTTCCCCTTGCAATGAATCCTTTCGCCCACTTTCCACTCCAACTTTACAGGAGGTGAGAAAATATCTTCTACTGAATTTTTCTGGGCCTTCGCACAACTAAAAATAATTAAACTCGTGCCAAGTTCTTTATGTGTCCCTAGACTAGCCAAATAACTTTAGTACTGAAAAAGAAACAAATTTTTTAGAGCAGTTTGTAAATGTTAAAACCCTCAATTTTTCCTTTAAAAATAAAAAAAGCCTTTCCTAGAGCCTCACATTTTCTAGAAATGCTTTTTTTTTTTGGGGAAGCAATGGTATTAGCAGACTATGAGAAAAACCTTACCCTATTACTCTTTGGTGACCACCCTTTATTAAGCTGGAAAGCATCAGTCTTTAAGCAATCATGTAGCGCTATCTAAGTGATATTCACCTGTCCTAGCTAAATCCTCACTTTTAAATATTAAATTTTTCACGCCCCCTTTAAAAAAAAAAAGTTACTTTCTAGAAATGTTACCTAGGTCACATCCAGTCTGAAGATCTGGGGTTAATTTGTAAGTCCTGGGTAAAGTTAAGACAATGGTCCTGAACCAAGCACAGGCAGCTCATCCCCAGAGCCAGTCCAGACCTCCAGGGTGCGCCCTAACCGATACCAACCACACCACACAGGGGTGCATTGTGGCCAACTATTTGGCTTCCACCTAGATTTTTGAAGTTAAGTAGCCATAAAATTGTAATAAAGAATCTGGGGGCAGAAAAAAAAAGCTACATGATATCTTAGGAGGAGAAAGTCCATTATCTTTGTAAAAAACCAAACCCCCCTTCATTTCTCACATAGCGAAACATGCTGACAAAAGGCTCTGAGACAGGAGGGCACTGTTATCCTCCTAATTGAACAAATGAGGAGACAAGCTGAGGAGCTCAGGATTAGGTAACTGGCCCAACACCACACCACAAAATGGTGGCACTGGGGTGTCAGGGTATCAGCCTTCTCGGGGAACACTGCCTCCCCTACCATCCTTTTGGAAGAGATCTGCTGGCTGGCTTTATTATTATCCTCACACCATCTTTTACAAAATGGCAAATAGTAAACTTGGGGAATGATTTTATAACTTGCTACCACCGTAGCTATTATATCCGTGGAGGGTATTAAAAAATAACCAGTAAAGGAGCTTTCTATCATATCTAATTGAGGAGAGTTGGCTTTTTGAAAAACCTCTAGAACTGTCATCTCAAGGTTCAAACCTTTATCATTAACCTTAGTGTGAGAGAAACGAAGGCACAGAGGATAATTAGTCACCAGTTTCTATTCATGTTCAACAAAATGGACACTCAGCTTCTGGTCTTGGAATTGAACCATCTCAGCAATGATCCCCATAACGGCAGCTACCCTCTGCCCTCAAAATGAAGCAGATGTATGGTATGTACTCCACGGAACAGAACATGAGTTTTCAGCAAAATGGGCTCTGGAGTATAACAAACTAAATTTTACTAGAGCTAAACAATGTTTCATAAAGTGTTTTCATTAGGAGTTCTTGAACTCATCTTGCATTTTAAGGCAACCAAGGCTTTAACTTAACTATTATTAAAATTTAAAACTCAATTATTTACTTAGGTACGGGACCTAAAATACACCTGCAAATTGCTAGCACCTAGCAGGCTCTTTTGTCCCAGGGACCACACCTGTGTGGGTTTGGGGATACAGTGAAGCATTTGTCAGCAGGGATTTGGTCATTTACCCTTTGTGTCATTGGAGGGAATTTACACCCTGGTGAATTTACTTCCCCATGAACAAACTGGGCACAATAAAAGTTCCAATGCCCATAGGGTTGTTCTGAGAAATTAAATGAGGCCATGAATGTAGGCCCTTAGCACAGGGCCTAAAATATGGTAAGTTTTCAGGGCCAATGAATTATTGTCCAGAGGAATGTGGCATTTTCTGACTACTACTCTATCATTGTTTACAGTGAACCAGAATAACTTATAAAAGCAGGTGATGAGAACAAAATCAAATTTTTAAGGATAGAGTAATTCTACCATGGCAATCAGAGCTCATCAGAGCATTCTAAGGATTCAGTTCTGGAAGATCATTTCTCTAAATATGACTATTTCTCTATGTACCTTCCCACCAAGTGAACAAAAGAAGTTTTATATACAACTGGATACAGATGACTTTTATTAGCAGTGTTACTGTGTTTTTGTGACTCAAGGGGCAGGGGGGGGATCTTGTCTTCGGAGAGTTTATGTCATTAACTTCCAGACACTTACTTCTAAACGAGAAGCTTGCTCCCCTCCAAAAGGGGTTATGGAAGGTAAGGGAAAATGGAATGCTTCCAAACTTTTCTTAGTGAAATGTGGGTTCAATCGGCGTGTGGATTCTATGTATACACGTGGTACTTTCCCATCACAGTTTAGGGTTCCCAGGTTGAAGGGAACCAATTACTGGGGATCATTCGTAGACAATGGGTGGAAAAGATGGCTTCAGTCGATCTGAGTTACTCCAGTTTTCTCCATCTTCGGCTACTCTGCAACCCCATCTCAAGCCTTCCTCCTCTGATTGCTTACGGTGTCCTATTGTCTCCCAAGCTTCCTCTTTTCTAGACTTGCTTGGGGTCTCCCCTCGAAACTGGGATTCTCCCACCAACCCCCAACTTCACCCTCTCCCCAGGCCCTTCCGATCTGAGCCACAAATACGTCTCCTTCTAGTCCCGCCCACATTTCTGGGGTTTCTCAATCTGTTCCCCCACCCTCGCCGCCCCACATCTCCAATTACCCCTAAAGCTCCGCTAGGCCCGCAGTCCAGGCTGCTTCACCCCTTCTAGCTTTCAAAGAAACATCTATAACTACCCTCCACACCTCCCACCAGTGTCCTTTCAAACGGCTCACCTCCTCCCAACTCATATCCTCTGCCACCCTTATTCTCCAAATTATTCCCTGCTCCCCATTCAATGCTTAAATTATTCCCCTCCTTCAGCACTCCACTCCACCCTACTAGCTTCCCGTATTTCATTCCGCCCACAAAAAAGGCCCGAATCACTCTCCAAGCTGTCGCTTCCTTCCATCGGCTCTCCAAATTACCTTTTCCAGCAACCTCCCACTCCGTGATTTAAAACGTCCCCTCAAACAAACCTAACAGTCCTGCGCTCCCCCGCTCCACCCCTCCCCCGATATCTCCTTTCTGCCATTCCCGCTACTTCCTGCGCTCCCGCTCCACCCCATTCCCGCAAGCCGCGCGCGCCACGTTCCCACCCACCCACGGGGAAGCGCCCCGGCCCGCACATACCTCGGGGTTCCGGCCCGCGCCGCCCCCTTCTCCGTCCTCCGCCCGCGCTCGGCCACCCTTTCCGCCCTCTGTCGCTCCGCCCCGCCCCAATCGCTCCCTTCCTTCCCTCCGCCTTCCGCCTCCACACCTCCCTTCCCCCACAATTCCCAGCCCTCCCACCCCGGGGACTCACATGGGCTCGCTCCCACCCCCGCGCGGGCCTCTCCGCTTCCCTCCCCGCCCCAGCCTCCCTCAGCTCCCCGCCCCCCGGCTCGCCATTCTACTAGCCCAGCCGCGCGCCCCGCCGGGCCCCGGCTCCCTCATTCCCCGCTCCTTCGCCTCCATCCCCGGCTTGGCCCTCGCTCCCCACGGCCTCCCGCGCCCCACGCCCGCGGCCTGACCTGCACTGGCGGCCGCCGAGCGCGGCGCCGCGCGCCCCCCGGGCGCCACCCGCCCCCCCCGCCGCCGCCGCCGCCACCACCGCCAGGACTGCCTGCGCACTTCCGGCTTCGCGACGCGAGTACTTCCGGGGCAGAGCACGCGAGCGCGCGCGCACGTGCAGCCTGGTGGAGAGCGGTGAACCCGGCGGGGCCGCGGGTGAGTTGAGGAAGGGGCTTGGAAAGTGCACCCTGGAGGAGGCGTCTGTGGGTAGGGGGCGTGCAGCTGGTGTCCGTCTGGCTGTCGGCCGAGCTCTCGGAGCCCTGGGTGCCGAGGCGAGCCGGGGGCTGCCCCACGGACCCCCAGAGAGGGAAGGGGCGGCAACAATTTGCGCGCGGGCTGGGCCGGCCAGAGCGCGCTTGCAGTGCCTGCGAGTTCCGACCCGAGAACCCAGGCGGGCGAGTGGGAACCAAACTGGACCCCTATGCTCGCTGTGTTGGCGGGGGGCGTAGTGACAGACGCCGGAGCAAGTCTCCAAGCCCTGTCGCTCCCTCTTCAGGAGGAACTCGCGATCCTGCCCTGCCCGGGCTGCCCCACTATCACCGCCTTCCTTTGAGGTCTGTCTGTGGTTTGCAAACTTCAACCTGCCACAGAGTTGGGGAAAGGTGCCGGCTGACGTGCCGAGCCCCTCTCCCCGCGGGACTGGGCTTCCGGAGCTGGGGTGGGACTGCAAACCCGGCGGGTTCTAACCATTTCCGGAGGCGGCTTGGGTGCAGCAGTGCCGCCAGGCTGTCAACCTTCGTTTCTTTGCCTTCTCTGTCTTAGAAGTGGTGCTAGGAAGGTGCCCTCTGCCATCCTCGCGAGCTTGTGGGCTTCACACACACCGAAGGGAGGCCCCGGGCTTCTGCCCACCTACAGACAAGTGGTCAGCTCAGCGGCTGACCCTGTTCAGGTGTGGACTCCCAGTTACACAGTTTGCTCAGGCTTTTTGCTCTGATCTGAGATCAAATTCTAGATTAGCACCACTCTTGCCTGGACCATTTTCTTGAGGCATTTGACTGGGTTGCTAGGAGTCTGGGGGATGGTCTGATTTGATCATCTGATCCTTTGCTGAAGCATTCTTCTTGTTCAAACAAACCAGCCTCCGTTCTGGGAGTAGGCTCTTGTGAGGGTAGGAAAGCATCATTGATGAAGTACTTAGAAGTCAACCTCCCTGAGTTAGCAATGAATGTTTCCATGTAGATGGCTGATGATGATAAGCATGTGACAGACTACAGTTTAACCATAATGAGCTCTTTTTTCCCCCCTCTTCCTAGGAATGGGTGAATTTAGGGTCCATCGAGTACGTTTCTTTAATTATGTCCCATCAGGGATCCGCTGCGTGGCTTACAATAACCATTCAAACAGATTGGCTGTTTCCCGAACAGATGGCACTGTGGAAATTTATAACTTGTCTGCAAACTACTTTCAGGAGAAAGTAAGTCTTTCAGGAGTCTGGTTTGGGGCATCTGATGTTGATTGTCTTTTTCAGTGCAAGGCTGCAAAATTTCCGTGTTTTCTATATTCAGGAATATTGAAAGAACATGATTCTCCTTCCCCCTCTGGAGTTGTTTAGAACTACATAAGAAATGTGAGCTTTGACTGCTGACGGACAGACACTCAGCAGGCTTAACTGGTTTAATGTTGGATAGAAAGTTCCTACCTAGGAACTCTGATGTCTCCCTCCCTGCCTGTCATTTGGAAATCAGAGTCACTGGATCTTTGGGGCATGACAAGAAGGAAAATGGGCCTTGCATTTGCTTTATGTCTGTCTCAGAACTTGAAGCAGTTCTTGCTGGGACTGGCAGTGCCCGTTTTATTGTCAGTTCCAAAAAAAATGTTAAACTTTTTGGTGATGTGCTTGACATAATGGATATATGTATGGATTGTGATAAGAGTTGTATGAGGCCCCATTAAAATGATTTTTTTTAAAGACAATGAAACAAAACAAAAAACCTTTTTGGTGATGTAATAACAAGAAGATGGATTCCTCAGCTCATCTGTCTCAAGAAATATAGGCTTATATGCCTGTATTTGGGAGGAAGGGATAATTTATAGATTCAAAAAAGATGTTACAGCAGTGTTTTTGCTGTTGTTGTTTTCCAAAAAACGACATGTTTCAGGTACAACATGTTATTCATTTCAAGTTTGCTGAATATGTACTACATCCCCAACAGTCTGCTACCTGGCACTCTAATGTTTCTAAGTAAATCTGTAACATTGTATTAGGGCAAATGTTGGAGCTCAAAGCCCAGCAGGGAAAACATGAATATTAGGCAGTTTTCCAAACAGTGTGATGCTTGGCTGTGATAAAGCTGAACATGGGCTCTGAGCCTTGGTGGTGAGAAGCCATTCAGACAGGTGGGTTTAGGAAATCTGGAAAGAGCTGACCCTCAAAGAATTAATAAAAGTTAATCAAGGAGAGCTGTCTGAGCAGAGTGAGCAACCTATCGAAGGGCAGGGTGCTTTGAATGTAGGAGAAATGAGGCTGAAGTAGGGGCCAGATAAATGCCAGCGGTTCTCAACCTGTGGGGGTCGAACCTTTGGGGATCGAATGACCCTTTCACAGGGGTCACCTGATTCATAACAGTAGCAAAATGACCATTATGAAGTAGCAATGAAAGTAATGTTATGGTTGCGGGGATCATCACAACATGAGGACCTGTATAAAGGGTCATGGCATTAGGAAGGTTGAGTATGGTTGCGGGGATCATCACAACATGAGGACCTGTATAAAGGGTCATGGCATTAGGAAGGTTGAGAACCACTGGCTTAAGACCTTTTGTAACTTTAAAGAACATGATCAGTCATGCTGGCTGTGGGAAGTGAACTAACGAGAACTGCATTCTAGAAAGAATATTTCAATGAAAGTTGTAGAGGAAACGGGAAAGGGAAGAAGAGTGGAAAGAACAAGGAGAGACCATCTAGTAAGAAGAGAAGTAGGGGCCGGTCAGGAAGGAACAGCTGAAGGGAGGAGAGTTGAGAGGACTTGTGGATTGTTTGCTATTGCTTGCATTTGGTTGGTCTCCCCTACTAGATGTGTGTGTGTGGAGGGCAGGGTCTGGTCTGTGTCTGATTCAGTAGGTGCTTCAGTAGATATTTACTTAGTGAATCATTGAATGTGAAGGCTGGGGAGGAGTCGTGTTTTCAGCCAAAACAGAATAGTAGTTTCAACAGGTGCATGGGTCCCGAGTAAGCATACTGGTGTGTGTACATAAAAGCTCAGTAAAGACTGTATCAGAAAATATTCTGGGTTAGGGAGCAGAGAGAGCTCAGGCCCACATAAGCAATGTGTGTGCAGCTCTTCCTGTCCTGAACATGCTGCTGGGTTTGCCTTCTTTGATTCACCCTCGTTGGCTCCCTGATATCCATGGAAGCACCGCCTTCCTGGGACAGCCATCTTCTGAGAGGCTCGAACCCCAAGGTGGTTTGTGCCGGAGCCCTCCACGGCAACAGCATTTGGACCTTTTTCTTCTTTGGATTGTGATCTTTAATAAAAAACACAGTTGAGATTTGCATGCACCCATTCATCTTTGAAACTTTTAGTAGGTATCATCTCTGATATCACAGACCCCATGCTCGGTACTCCTCAGGATGCAGAGTACGTCTCATCAGGTTGCCTGTGACCATGATGTGTGGTGAATTCATGATGGGCTGAGAAGTTACTGTGTTTCTAGTTTTTCCCAGGTCATGAGTCTCGGTCTACAGAAGCCCTGTGTTGGGCGAAAGGACAGCGACTCTTTAGCGGTGGGCTCAATGGAGAGATTGTCGAGTATGACCTACAGGCATTGACCATCAAGTATTCAGTGGACGCCTTTGGAGGACCCATTTGGAGCCTGGCTGCCAGTCCCAGTGGCTCTCAACTTTTGGTTAGTAAGCAGCTTATGGGGATTTGCACAGACCGCTCTGTGTCCACTCTGATGTTCTTCCCTATGTTTGTGGGAGGGTAAAGTTACACAAGGCATGTCGCCATTCCAAGCTAAGCTGGAGCCCAGCTACCCCAGCTACAAGATTGGAGTTGACAGGAAGGAGTCAAACTCCCTTGTCCCATGGCATCCTTCCGGCTACTGCTTTGGTCCTTGGTATCTTCATTTGTGAACTGAGAGGATTCCTTCCTTTGGATCAGCACTTCCCAGATTAATGTTCTTTGGAAGGGAGAGATGATGGAGGGCCTGCTCTTTTTCTCATTTTATTGTATGTTTCCTGATAAAATTATTTTCAGAAGTAACACACATTAAATCCTGTAAAATCAAACTCACCTTCGAGTCCATCCCTGGAGGACAGGGTAGAAGTGCCTCTGTGGGTTTGAGAGTAGAAAGCCTTACCTTTCTCCAGAGGAGCAGCTGCTGCCTTCAGACTGCTGACCCTTTGGTTAACAACCCAGCACATAACCCACTAGGCTACCAGGGCTTCTTCTGATACACATTCATACATTTAAAATTCATTCAAGTTAAAGGAAACGTTTAACAACCTGTGATTAAAATATACACAACTTAACATTTTGCCATTTTAAGCATTTCTAAGTGGCATTAATCACAGTGTTGTACGACCTTCACCCCTATTTGCTTCCAGTTTTGTTAACCCAAAGAGAACCTCTGTACCCTTTAAGACATAACTTCTCACTCCCCTCTCCTCAGCCCATAGTAACCACTCAGCTACCTTTTGTCTTTTGCTGATCTTGTCTAGTGTAGATAGACAGTGCTTCTCAAAAAGTTGAGAACACACAAATTGCTCCCTTCCAACCCCACCATTATAGTACCAGAGGAGTCCTGGTACTGTAGTGACTTAAGTGTGTGAGCTGCTCACCAAAAGGTTGCCAGTTCAACCCCACCAGCTGCTCTGTAGAAGAGATGGTGGAGCAGTTCTCTGCTCTGTAGGGTGGCCATGAGTCAGAATCAACACGATGGCAATTGGTTTGGGGTTTTATTACTATTAGAATGAATGCTTTCAGAGATTTACCTCTGATGAGTCTGATTATTTTTATTACAGTATCTTGCAATTCCAAAATTCCAATTCATCCAGATTCTAAGGCCATGGGTCTCTAGCAGAAGTGAGCTGTGAAGTTCTATTTCCGATTCACATCCAATCAAGAACTGGCCCCTTTTCTACAGAATTCTTAGTCCAGCCTGCTTTTCCTGGCCAGCGTATGAAGACAGCCAAGAATTGACTGTCGGTGTCTTGTTGTCAACACCTTTTTCTCCTAAAAATGATTTTCCTCTAGGTGCAAATAAGTTTGTTTGTTTTGAGGTTAAGTGTGACTTTATTGGGGTAGGGAAAGAGCTCCCAGGAGAGAAGGGAGAGCTGAGAAAGGGATGGGAGCATCTTGAGCTCCAGGGCGGATTCCACGACCCTACAAGTTAGGTCAGGGAAATCGCCTGGTTTTTTGTTTTTATTATTTGTTGTTGTTGTTGTTGTTTTTTAAGTTATTATCATTGCCATAGTCTGCCATACACGTGTTTTTTGAACTGTAAACTAATATTGAACATCTGTGAGTAAATTTATACAAATGGTAATATTCGGCAAGTACATGCTACCATGTTGTATGCATTTATAGAGATTTACTCTTATAAAATGTGTATCTTCTCTGTTCCTGTCTCCTCCACGCCCTGAACAGATTGGCTGTGAGGATGGATCTGTGAAACTCTTTCAAATTACCTCCGACAAAATCCAGTTTGAAAGAAATTTTGATCGGCAGAAAAGTAAGAGTCATTTTGGGTGGGGTGGGGAGGTGTGGATAAGTAGGCCTAACAGGAAGTGAGGTTTTTGTGGCCCAGTTGATGTGATAATTTCCCATAGGCCAGGTAATTTATCCACAGGCTGACTTTACCTGCAAACAGCCGTGGTGTGCTAGCAGCCAGGCCCTGGCCAGACAGTCTTCATTCTGTACCAGAGTTGTGAGTGTCTGGCTTGGTAACAATAAGAAATCCAAAACGGGAATCTGTGGGAAGGAAAAGATGATTTGTTATTTAACACTTTTTATGACTTCTTAACGAGTGTTCATATAGTCTTGAAAAACAGGAATTTTTATCTTTAATAGCTGTGGTTCTTAATCTTGGTAGCACATTTAAATTATCTTGAGTTCTTCGTTTTGTGTTTTTAATTGCCCAAGTTCCAATTTCAATTTAGACCAATTAACACTGACCTTTAGAGCAGGGGTCGGCAAACTTCTGTAAAGAACTCGTTAGTAAATGTTTATCAGAACCGGCAGTGGGGCCTGATCCGGTCCATGGGCCATCCTTTACTGACCCCTACTATAGAGAATAGTGACTCCTTATCAGGAATACTTAGTTTCTGCTAGGTTCATGTTTTGTTTTTAATACTCATTGAGTGTTTGTTTGTTTGTTTGTTTTTTTAATTACAAAAGTGACAACAGTGTTTGTTGAAATCTCAGGTATGTAACTACGAACTAGAAAACAAGTGCAACATTTTGGAATCTTAACTTAACAGTTGGTGATCTGCCTGGTGATTGGCTGCTGTGCTGAGAATAGCCTCACTCTATAAATAGAGGGGGATCTGGCACCAGAGAGAGGAGAAGGACTGCTAGTCTCTCACAACCCTGAGCCAATTATAAGTTGTAGTGCTTATAATTTAACTGTTCATTTGTTTTATTTATCTGTATATTATTTAACAGTTCATTTCTTGTTATATATCTAATTATCTTTATAAATAAATATATTTAATTATCAGGAATTTGGTTTTATCTCTCTAGAGAACCCTGTCTAACACATTAATTAATTAATCTTAACTTCATTACATGTTCATATAAACACACACAAGTCCGCACACTTTATTCTCCCGCTACTCTCTTGCAGTGACAGACGTCTCTCTGTCAGCCATGTCTGTCTCTGTGGCAGTCGTTTTCATGGTGTTCCATAAGTTACTTAAGCTACTGACTTTTAAAAGATGTTTTTCTTACTAACCGTTAGAAGCTGTGCTGCAAGGAACATTTCCTACACGTACATCTCTGGGCACCCATGCAAGGATTTCTGTTTGATCCTTTCCTAGGCTAGGCCCCGCATTGAAGTTTTGACAGCTTACTACCAGGTTACCCATGAAAGTTTGTACTTATTTACACATTCCTATCAACCAGTTACACGTTTTTAAAGTAAGTATCAAATACTGCATATACTTGAGTATAAGCCGACCTGGATATCCACCGAGGCACCTGATTTTACCACAAAAACTGCATTAAAAATGTGCTGAAAAACTCGGCTTCTACTTGAGGATATATGGCATGTCCTCGAGGATCTCCAGGTAGAGCTGTTTATCACCTTTGCTTATGAACCAGTACTGTGAAACAGTGCAGCAAAGAAGGGCTACAGACTGGAGTTTATGCAGAATGCAGTTACCCATTGCTGTATATTTATATGTGTTTCCTTTTCTTTCTTTGTTGTATAACTCCCAAGGTCGCATCCTGAGTCTCAGCTGGCATCCCTCTGGTACCCACATTGCAGCTGGCTCCATAGACTACATAAGTGTGTTTGATGTCAAATCAGGTGACTTTTTCTCAGTTCATATGGGGAGTGGGTCTTGATTATCACATTCATATTTCTGGGTTTCCAGAAAGCGTCCCCTCTTGTCACAGTCTCTAGGACCTTTAGCCTCTACCCTCTCACTAACCTGGGCCATCTGGAAATTTTCCCTCCTTTTCTTGGATAACTACTGCTGGGTTTAGGGCATTCTTAGTTTTTCAGTGGGATGCAGAATTCTTCATCCTCATAAGAATTCGCCAAAAAAAAAAACCACGTGCTCCAATCCTTCCTATCAGTGAGCCATGGACTACCTGTGCAGATGGGCTTCTGCCATTTGGGACCACCAGGTGTTCACTGCATAATTAACAAGAAAGGACAGCAGAGAGGTGAAGGACCATAGACTCTGTCCTTGGTCCAAAGAATTGGCTAGTGGAATACTCCAGTGATGAGCTGGACTCCCACATGTTGAGTAGCTTTGATTCTCTACTGTGGAGCTAAAACAGGTCAGGTGACATTTATTTTCTGTTTGACACTAAAGGAGCTTCTTTATTCTTTTTTTTTTTTAATATGGAACGCTTCACGAATTTGCGTGTCATCCTTGCGCAGGGGCCATGCTAATCTTCTCTGTATCGTTCCAATTTTAGTATATGTGCCGCCGAAGCAAGCACGAACTTCTTTATTCTTAACCGTGCAAATAGTCAATGTCTTAAGGCTTATTATGAAAACTGAGAGACCCTACATCCTTCCCCCTTTCCAGGGTAACGACTTTCAACTCTTGGCTGATTCTTTTGATATTCAGACCATTATTTATTGACTACGCTATTTCACCCTTTTGCTACGGGCATCTACACTTGGTCTTGACTTTCTTATGATTATGTTGCACCTTCGGTCAGATTAATAGTGTTTTCATTACTATGACTGTAAAAATACTATTTACTTTTCCCTATACACTTTTTAATATTGTCGTCTTCCTTATCCCATCCAATTTCTGTGCATGTTTCGCTAAGTCATTTCCATTCTGTTCATCCCAGACTCCAACTCACTATGGGTTCTCTTCTGATCGCTTTTCTCTTGCAGTCTCCGGAGCCTCTGACTTGCGCCTCTGCCCAACCAGGAGCTCTGAGCCCTCGCTCACGTTCTCCCTTCGCTTCTCTCGCGAGAGCCCCGCTTTCCAGGTCTTTCACCTTCCTGATCCTGAGCAAGAACTTGAGCTTGGAAAGTACTTTCCTGTAGTGTTAAAGCCATAGCTTCATTGTCTCCTCGCTGCCAGGCTTGTTTTGGGGAAGGATGAGTCCATTCTGAGAAGCGCTCTGTAGAGAAGCGATTTTTTGGGGGGGAGTGGGGTCTTTTCTGGAAGGGCTTAGGGTCCTTTCTGTAGCTTCATTCTTCTGAAATTTACTAGTGATATTCCTTGTCGGGTGGATCTGCTGGGCACCTGGTAGGTTCTTTTAATCAAAAAGCCCACGTCCTTCGTTTTTGTGGACTGCTTTTACAGTTCTTTTGTAGATGAGTTCCGTTCTGATTTTCTCTTTCTGGAATTTGCATTATTTGAATATTGGCTCTTATTTCCGTACATACCGTATATACTTGTGTATAAGACGAGTTTTCCAGCACATTTAAAATTTTTTATTTATTTTTTTAAAAAATCATTAATTAAAAAATAATATTATTGGGGAGTCAGACAGCTCTTATCACAATCCATACATAAATCCATTGTGTCAAGCACATTTGTACATTTGTTGCCCTCATCATTCTCAAAGCATGCTTTGTGCTTGAGCCCTTGATATCAGCTCATTTTTTCCCCTCCGTCCTCCACCTACCATCCCTCACCAACCCTTGATAATTTATAAATTATTATTTTTTCATGTCCTACAATGTCCGATGTCTCCCTTCACCAACTTTCCTGCTGTCCGACCCTAAGGGGCGTGGTTATATGTAGATCCTTGTGATTGGTTTCCCCTTTGTACCCCACCTCCTTCCCTCTACCATCTGGTATTGCCACTCTCACCACTGGTCCTGAAGGGATCATCCGTCCTGGATTCCCTGTGTTCCCAGTTCTATCTGTACCAGTGTACATCCTCTGGTCTAGCTGGATTTGTAAGGTAGAATTGAGATCATCATAGTGGGGGTGAGCAAGCATTTAAGAACTAGAGGAGAGTTGTTATGTTTCATCGTTGCTACCCTGCACCCTGACTGGCTCGTCTCCTCCCGGAGACCCCTCCATGAGGGGATGTCCATTTGTCTACAGGTGGGCTTTGGGTCTCCACTCTGCACTGCCCCTCATTCTCAGTGATATGGTTTTTTGTTCTTTAATGCCTGATACTGACCCCTTCGACACCTTGTGATCACACAGGCTGGTGTGCTTCTTCTGTGTGGTGGGTGTTGTTGCTTCTCAGCTAGATTGCTACTAGTTTATCTTCAAGCCTTTAAGACCCCAGAGGCTATGTCTTTTGATAGCTGGCACCATCAGCTTTCTTCACCACTTTTGCGTATGTACCCGCTTTGTCTTCAGCAATGCGATCATGTAGGAAAGGTGAGCATCATGGAATGCCATTTAATAGAATAAAGTGTTTCTTGCATTGAGGGAGGACTTAAGTAGAGGCCCAATGTCCATCTGCTACCTTAATACTAAACCTGTAAATATATGTGCATAGATCTATTTCCCCATCGTCATAATAAATATATTTACCTATGTATATGCTTGTATTTAGACCTCTATAAATGCCGTTTGCTTCCTATTTCTTTCATCTTATTTCCTTTTACTTTCCTCTTGTTCCACTATCATGCACAGCTTTCATTTGGGTTTCAGTAATTCCTCTCGGTTACATTGCCCTTGATCAAGCACTACCAGGCCTCTTGCATCCTCTTCGCCACTGATTTTGGTTCACTTGTTATTCCCTTGTCCTTGGGTTTGTTAACACCACTTCCTTTGCCCCACCTCCCCCTCTCCCATGTTCCCCCAGAACCTTTGGTCCTGTTGTTTTCCCCTCCAGATTGTTTATCCAGCCTATCTTATCTAGATAGACCTGCAGAGATAATAACATGCTCAAAAACAAGACAGAGCAAAACCAAGCAACAAAACAGAACAATAACAAAAAACTGATGACAAAAGAAAAGCTTGTAAATAGTTCAAGGTCTGTTTGTTGACCTTTAGGAGTGTTTTCTGGTCGAGTCTGATGGAGTACCATACTCTGGCCCCAAAGTCTATTTTTAGTACTCCCTTGGGACTTCCATACTCTGCTCCCTTTGCTGTTCTGTTGACTGCCCTTAGTGTTTTGCCTCGGTGTGGTAGGGTCAGATTGGGCACAATTCTCACACTGTCTCCAGTGTTGTCCCTTGTAGGGCTATGGGTCAGTTAGGGATGTTGTGTCTCGTGTCTCGTAGTGGGGCTGGCCATATGGTCCTCTCTGAATTGGCTACTCTGAGCAGGGATATCCTCAGGGCTTGGTGGGCCAGGATGTGCTCCACTCTCTCTTCCTCCCCCTTCATTTGCTCCTGTGTGCTCTGATCAAACATATCCTTCTCCCTGAGCTGTAGCTTCAGTGCTGTCCTCTGAAGTAAATTCTTTTGGGGGGCGGGGTGGTCTAGCACATTTTTAATGCAGTTTCTGTGGTAAAATTAGGTGCTTTGGCTGATATTCGGGTCGGCTACACTCAAATATATACAGTAGTTACTGCTTATTCTGTCTCTGCCCTCTTGCTCTTTTTTCTGTATTTGTCACCTTCTTCTTTCAATTCTTCTGTTGAATTGCTTATTTCTGCATTTCCAGTTTTTTGTTTCTTGAATGTGTTCTATTTTGGTTCATTCTTTGTTAACTCTTCTCATTTTTTCTTTGTTTTTCATTTTCATGTTTTTATTGTAAAGTTTGTGAGTAATTACATGGGTCTCTTCATTGACAGCTCATCCAATAAGCTCTCTTCTCCTGTCAAGGATATTGAGTTAATGCTATGGCATATTCTTCACCCTGTCCGTGTGTCTGCTAGTCTGCTCGGCCTCTGCCTTTCATTTTAAGGACTTTCTTCAAATGTTGGGTGATGGCCATCTTTGGTCCGTAAGCACGGGAGTGGACCTTTTGGAGCATGGCCTTTACGTGGATGCTCTGGCTGGACTGTTGGTTTGGGATCTTCTAAAGTCAGGTCTTCAGGTTTGTTCATTTAACAAATTTCTCTTTCATTCTTTGTTCTGTGTGGTGCTGAATTATACCTGGGGTCGCTCTTCAGAGAGTGCTTCTCCAGTCCACTGTCGGGATGGGGGCAGGGGATACCTAGCTTCCAGTTTGAGGAGATGTTATCTGGGGGAAGCCTAACGGCTTCTTCAGCTTATTTGAACCAGTCCCTTCTTTTAGTCCTGCTTTCTCCCTCTCATCTAGTCCTGTGGAGATTCACAGCATTGCAAACGCTACGTGGGGTCATTGAATCCCAATCGACTGACGCTTGGTTCTCACTTTGAGAAGAATCTGGGCTCACCAATTACAGAGTCATTTGAGGTTTCCATGACGTGACACAGATGGTTTCTCAACTCTCCCCACTGCAGGCTAAGCCTGACTTTCAGGCTCTGCCAAGTCGGCTTCCACCCCTTGTCTCTTTTCCAGAGACCTGGCATTTCGTACCTGGTTCGTCTTCTGCCCCTTTCATGTGGACTCTGGAAAGGAGCAGAGTGTGTGTGGGGGGAGGGCATTTGGCCAGCTCCAAGTGGAAGTCTTGAGTGTCTCTTTTTCATTTCCCTTCCCTGGAAACCTCTTTGTTTCCCCCTCTCTCGTCTTCAGGTAACCAGTTTTAGAACCCGAGACTGGGCTCACTAGAGCTACCCATTTCCTGACTGTGCTTAAGCTACTACTAATTTCCCATATCATGCCTGCCACAGGTGATTTCTGATGCCCAAGGGAGAAAAACGTACCATTGGAATGTGGGCTTCTGTTATTTTTCAGGGAGTGCCACGCACAAAATGATAGTGGATCGGAGATACATGGGAGTGTCCAAACGGAAGTGCGTCATATGGGGCGTGGCCTTCTTGTCCGATGGCACGGTCATAAGTGTGGACTCCGCGGGGAAGGTGCAGTTCTGGGACTCGGCCACTGGGACACTCGTGAAAAGCCATCTCCTCGCAAATGCTGACGTGCAGTCCATCGCCGTATCTGATGTGAGTATCATCCCCTTTGAGGAGTCGGTGAGAAAACGGGGTCAGAGCCAGAGCACAAATGCTGCCTCTCCCTGCCCTGACGTTGGACTCGGTGGTAGATTTAGGGAAATGCATCTAAAAACAGCATGTCCTTTCCCTGGGCCCTCTTAACTTTATAACAATTAGCAGATCCTCTCTAAAAGATCTCCGGGAGTTTTCCTGTGGATCACTCACCGCCCACAGATGGCCCTGGCAGGTTGTCTGTGGAGCGAGGAACCTGGAAGAGCATTGCTTCCTTTGGCCCTCTGCATGGCAGTGAAGGAGCTCTGGGCTTGTCAAAGCGGGGACCTACCCACTTGTTGATTTCTTTGCTGTAGCCCCATGGTCCCTATACTTTATTTATTTAATTTAATGGAAAGATGAGTATTGCTTGTAGTCACTTTTTAAGTCATCAGATAAAATTTATTGAAAACACATTATATCCATACCCTGTGGATTAGGAGTTACTATCACTGTAAATAAAATGCTTACTATCGTAAAAGGATAACAGTGGTGGTAAGGGTTCCGTAAAAGGGAAGTTATTAGGTGTTAAAGACAAAACCTAGCAAAGTGGGAAAGGACACACCCAGGGAGTGAGTTGGAAAACCTCAGTGACCTTCAGGGGATTGTAAGGAAGGTCACAAGACAGACCGTGTACACTGTTGGATGGGACACTAATGGGCTCTATGGGCTCTCACCTCCACTCGGCTTCAGGACAAAAGCGAAGGGACAGAGTGATACAAGGGGGCTCAAAGCGCTCTGAAGTACCTCGTGGGACCTCCTGCAGCCTGAAAATCTGGTGTTGCCACTAGCCTGCTGAGCTCCATTCTTCAGGAAATCATTACATTTGATGTTCAAGCACTTTCGTTCTGAGTCCACAGTTCTTAAAAGCTATGACGAATCTACCTGCTTTTTTTACTTCTATTTGAAAAAATACATATTTTTTTGAATGGTCTTGATATTCATATAGTTTAAAGAGCAACAGTATACAATAAAACGTTTCCTTTTTACACTTGTCCCACCTGCCCCTTTCACCCCAATATCCATTCGTGTTCCTTTCATCTGTGCAGCTGCTAGTACTGATTTCCTGTGGAGTTGTTTCTTCCTCCCTGTGAACGTTTGGGTGAGCGTTTTGAGAGCCTGTTTTCCAGTCTACTTGTGAGAGACATTGTGTTTCGGGATGTTGGTTGCAAACCCCTTCTTGTAACAGCACTCTTCCCTAAGTCTCTGAGTCCCCCAGTTCCCTTCCTCTTTCTTTCCTGTGCTTCCTAGCTTTGTGTTTAGGCAAATGTTCACTTGATAGCCCTTCTTGTTGTTTGGCTAAGAGTTGATTCCTGGGGATTAGGTTCAGTTCCAGGCTTGAAGGGTATCTAAGGATCACAATCTTGGGGTTCCACCAGTCTTTGTCACACCAGTAAATCTGGTCTTCTTTTTTTTAACGTTCTTTTTTAATAACATTCTTTTTATTTTACTGGGACTTTGTGTTGTGATCAGTGGTGGTAACCAGACACCATCTTGTTCTTTGGTCCCCCAGTAGTGGGAGCTGTGGTTCATGTCATCCATTAGCCCTTGGGACTAAATGTTTCCTTGAGTCTCTGGCTTTTTCTTCATTCTTCGTTGTTCTGCACAAGGAGAGACCAATAGTTGCTTCTGAGATGGCTGCTTGTAAGCTTTTACGAGCCAAATGACAGTAGTCACTGAAGGAGGTTGTAGAGCAGCGGTTTTCAACCTGTGGGTCGGACCCCTTTGGGGGGGCCAAAACGACCCTTTCACAGGGGTCTCCCAATTAATAACAATAACAAAATAACAGTTATGAATAGCAAAATGACAGTGATGAAGTAGCAACAAAAATAATTTTATGGTTGGGGGGTCACCACAACACAAGGAACTGCATTAAAGGGTCGCGGCATTAGGAAGGTAGAGAACCACTGATGCAGAAAATGTGTTTTTGCGGACTTTGTCATCCCGCCTGACTTCGTTCCCCCGAGATGCTCGGTCTCTTATGTCTCCAAGCTCAGTCATCCCTTCAAGGCATTGTTTAGAACTTTCAGAACTCTGCGTCCATATGCTCCGTAATATCTTTGCATGTATTTATTTACAGCACATACAGATACAAAGAGATTTCAAAAAGAATATAGTGTGCTCTTCCAAAATTCTATTTATAATTTTTCAAAAATCAAATTAAAAAATAATGGAATTTTTCGATGACTTTTTGCAGTTTCCTGATAATTGTGTAGACATCCCTGCTGCACCTGTAGGTGCTTGTGGGTTTAGCTTGCATATCTTAACCTGTATATCTCCTCGGGGCTGGATGTTATTACTGTTCTTTTTTTTTTTTTCTTTATCGTTTTATTAGGGGCTCCTACAACTCTTATCACAATCCATACATGCATCAAAAAGCACATGTGTACATTCATTGCCCTCATCATTCTCAAAACATTTGCCCTGGCGTTCTTGTTGGAGTGTGTGGCCAGTACTGGTTGTTTTCTCAGTCTCCTACTCCGTGCTCCACTATTGCTGCCTCCCCCTTGTTGTCTGTTGCTTTTCCCTCCGCCCTGCTAATCTGTCTGTTCTCAAGCCGTGTTTTCCCAAAGTGGGCGGTGAGCGCCCTGGGGCGCACTGGGCTGACAACAGATATTTATCCTGGATTATGGACTATAGTTTATAAAAAGTTTGAAATTGTTGGAAGGGAGCATGGGGTGGGGACTGATTTATTTTTTTTCCTCTTTAAATGGGGTGGTAGGCCACGTAAGTTGGAGAACCTATGAGGTAATGATTTGCCCTGCCTTCTCCTCCTGTCGCTAATAATCACTGAAGAATGTTTCTTCCCGTCTGTAAACCTTTTCTTGCCTTTTTTTTTTAATTTTGTATTTCTTTTTTAATTTTTTAATTTTTAAGCATTTTATTAGGGGCTCATACAACTCATCACAATCCATACACACATCAATTGTGTAAAGCACATTCATTGCCCTCATCATTCTCAAAACATTTGCTCTCCATTTAAACCCCCGGCATTAGGTCCTCCTTTTTCCCCTCCCTCCCCGTATTGACTTTTTTATAGTGGCTTTGTACAGTGCATGTCCTTTTGTGATCGACGTATTTCACTCCACCTTTCTGTTGCTATAAGTAATGCTTCAGTGAACATGGTGTTCATACATATTTTCATGTCATGGCTCTTGCTTCTCTAGGATCTATACCAAATAGTGGGATCAACTGGGTCATTTGATGCATCTATTGCCACCTCTTCAAGGAAAGACCATATGGTTTTCCCCCGTGGTTGTGCCAGCCCCTCCACAGCCTCACCAGCATTTGTTTGTTTTCCTAACTTTGCTGCTATTCTGTGCACTCCTCCATAAATCTTTTTATGAATGACCAGGCACAACATTGTTCTGCATCTTAAAATTTTTTTATTAACAGCCTAGTTAGATAGCTTTATGGTATTCCGTTGAATGGATGTAGACAGCTTTTATATAGCAGACCATTATTAGTGGCTGGACAGGTTACTCTGTTGGCTTATCATAAACAGTGCTGTAGTTTAATGTGTTCTTGTTGGGTGGAAGAGCATGTGTATTTGTGACCTGGATGGCAACAGCATTTCTGAATTGCCTCTCCCCTGAGGGGGGGTGTCCTGATTTCCCCCCTCTCCAGCTGTGTCTGGTGCCCCACTCTTGTCCGTGGTGCTTAGAGCACTTTTTGGAGTTTGTCCATCTGATTTAGAGAAGGAAAGATCTCGGTGTAGTTTCAGTGTGCACTTCGTGTTTGATGGGTATCATTTTATATATTTAAGAGTCATTTTCTGTGAATTATGTTAATAGCTGCCTTGAATGGATGCCAGGAATCTTTAATCTTTTAGGGAGGTGTGATTTTTTTTTTTTTCATTTTTCTTTTGCACCTTGTGTTTTATGAGTTACAAATATTTTTCTCAGTTTTGTCTTTTTTTTAATCTCTGTGTGTTGAAATAGTTAAATTTATCAATCGTTACGGTATCTGGTTTGAATTATAGCCTTTCCACATAGACTTTATATGTGAATCCTCCTTTATTTTCTCCTACTTTTATAGATTCAGATTTCACACTTAAAACCTTGAATCATTTGGAAATCATTCTGACACAAATAAAGATCCAACTCCGGCTTGGTTTACAGAAAGACCTATTTTTTCCCACCACTCTGAGATGCACCTGAGTTTCTAATGCGAAATAAGTACTTGAGATGCTAAATTCCCCTTGGTACTTGGACCCATGGAAGACTTTCCGGTTGCATGGGTGGGTTGGTCCGCATGCAGTTCCACTCTGTTTTGATTATGGAATTGTGGCATTTGTTTTACTGCTTGCCAGAATTGGAACGCCAACCCCCACCCCTGCCCAGCATTTGTCTTAGTCTTCTTGCTTAGACAGTTCCGTTTGTATTCATCTATTTTGCTTCTTGATTTTCTATACAAATTTAAGATGTATCTAATTTCAAGTGAAGGACTGTGGGTAATTTTTATTATATTATATAAAACTTGCAAATTTTTTTATTGCTAAATTCTTGGTGATGCTAAATATTCCCTTTCAAGAACATGGTAGGCTTTTCTTGAAAACATTTCAGATTTCTTTCGCATAGGTCTGTCACATCTCATATTTTGTGGTTGCTGTGTTAGTGGGCTCTGGTGTGTATCTACCACTGGGGCACAAGTGGTCAAAATATTTGACTATTGACAGAAAGGTGGGCAGTTCAAACCCATTAGTGGTTCTGTGGCAGAAAGATGAGGCAGTTGACTTCCGTAGAGATGATAGTCTTGGAATCCCTTTGGAGCAGTTCTCTGTCCTGTGGTGTTCCTGTGAGCTTGGGTTCTGGATTTTGCTTGTCTCAGCTTTGACAGTTCACGTGCCTGGAAGCACGCATCACGGCTTTAGCTATGTGTTGTTAATTTTGTCAGTAGGGGGCGCAGTTTACCTGTGTCTGAGCTTGTTTCTCTAGTGGCATTACTGGCTTCTAAAGCAGGAATGGGCAATGAGTGATTCGAGGGCCATGTAAAAGCCCAGGAAATCACCAATACCAGCACACATCACATGCCTCACCAAATGGAAACAGTTCCAGCCATCATAGTAGGTGTCAGTTAATTAAATGTTTGATTAATATGGCTTGCAAATGGTGCTATACATGTCCAGGTGGGCCTTGGTAGAGAAAAGGTTTCCCACCCCTGTGAAGAGAAAGACCTCGTGATTTACCTTCTAATTCTGGGAAGAGATGTTTTCCTCTCAACTATCCCGGCAGAAAACTGCCGGAGTCAAGTTTTCCTTGCTGGGCCCTACTTTGCTCAAATGAACTCCTTTCCGATTTAATTTCTCAGCAAGAAGACAGTTTCGTGGTAGGCACAGCCGAGGGGACGGTGTTCCATTTCCAGCTGGTCTCTGTGGCTTCCAACAGCACCGAGAAGCAGTGGGTGCGGACCAAGCCGTTCCAGCACCACACGCACGATGTGCGCGCCGTGGCCCACAGCCCGACGGCTCTCATCTCTGGAGGTGGGTGCCGTGCTTGGGTTGCCACTGATCTCCGAGCCGCCCGGTCCCAGGCCGTGGGTTTATAACTCTGCACACTCTCCCCCCACCCCAGGCACAGACACCCACTTGGTTATCCGTCCTCTCATGGAGAAGGTGGAGGTAAAGAATTACGATGCTGCACTCCGGAAAATCACCTTCCCTCATGTAAGTGTCATCACCTGCACGCGCACCCCCACCCCGCGCCCCACCTTACCCCCACACACCCCAGCCCTCCTCAGTCCCACCAGAGTGAACACAGCGAGCCCTTTCTGAGCTGATTTGAAGGACTTCCTGTAGCCACTTCATTCCTCCTCCTGTTCTGAGGCAGGCCTCTTAGAAGGATGTTTGTATGAGCAAGAGATTGGCTATAGCATTTCTAGTAGTTACCAGCAAGGCCTGCCCCATCCCAGACAGCCAGATTTAATGGACTTATGTTCATTCCTTCTTTTGTTTGACTTTGCTTTCTAAGATAGGGATTTTTCGAAAAGATTCTGGCCAGTTACAGGAAGATCTAGTTTCTGGGTGTCCCATCTTCCAAGCTTGAGTCCTCGCTCTACCTCATCCTCCACCTCCCGGGAGTTGGGTCTCCTTGCACGCTGCCTCAGGAGTGGAGTTCGTTTCTTTGCACCTCCATGCTCCTAGTTTGGATCAGTACCCTGTCTCATCTGGGTGTCCTCACAGTGGTTCCCTAATGATCTCCTTGTGTTTACGTGTGTGTCATCCCAGGCAGTTCTCCGCTGCTATGTTTCAAAGAGGCTCTTGTTCATCACTTCCTGTGTCCACGCCTTTGATGGGGCCTCCAGCAAAAATGACCTAATTCCTTTTCATGGCTTCTGAGCGTTGTTTTACTTTAGCTTCTCTCACCTCTGGCTTGCAGGTACCTCGTCTGCCATCCCCCTCTGCCCCCCAGACTGGCCACACTGACAGACTTGTAATTCCTTTGAGCCATTTCATGGGCCATGCCTTTGCCTGGGACACCCCCCCCTCCCCCCCCTTGCCCGAGTAGTCTTCACCAGGGATCCTCATCTAGGGCTCCTGTCTTGGCCCCACCGGGCTAGGCCTGGTGTCCCTTTTTTTTTTTTTTTTTTCGTGACAGTGCTTGCCGATGAATGTGTGTAATTAGTAATTGATTTGCTGTCACCTCCTTAGACCATAAGCTTCTTCGGGGCTGTAACTATGTGTCCATTCACCAGTGTATTTGTAGGTCCTGGGACAGGGCCTGGCATAGGGTAGTACCTATGAACTAGCAAATGAAGAGTAAAGAGTACGCTAGGACGTTGCTACTCCATCTAGTACTGAGCTAGTAGAGGACCCAGGCTCATAACTTCTGCTCGTGCACACAGCGGCGACTCGTTTCCTGCTCAAAGAAGAAGCAGCTTCTCCTCTTCCAGTTTGCTCATCATCTGGAACTCTGGCGACTGGGAGCCACAGCTGCAACAGGTAACATGGAGGAAGTGTTTTGCTTAAGAGAAAATAGAGAAAACCAAAATTAAGAATTATAGGTGAAATCCTGAAAATGAAAAAACAAAATTGATTTTTCTGTGTCCATTGACACTTACAGTGTCGTCTGCCCCCCTTCCCCCCCAACTGAGTTATTCAGCTAGCATCTTTTGTAGGACGCTGGGCCATCTCTGCAGGACATGTTGCAGGGGGAGTTGGGGCGAGCATGGTTGAGTCATAGTTTTCCCGAGCTTGACTGGGATGAAATCAGCCTTTTGAAAGATGGCATGATTACATGTTGCAAAGTGATGCTTCCCTGTGAAAAAGGTCCCTCGGATCTTTCTGAGGTAACAGCCTAGGGGGCTTTTGTATGACGTTGTTTGTTGACTGTAAGTTCTAAAGTAACAAGGAATGTAATATTTTGGGCACACCAGCATCCCTTTTGCTCCCTGCCTGCGAGTGATCTGGCCCAGGTCCGTCTTGGACATCCAACCTAGCAGGAGGAAGGGCAGCAGGGGCTGTTGGTGATTCTCCTTACGCACCCCCAGAATACATGAAGCCCTGAGCTAGGCATTTTCCCCGTTTTTCACTGCTGGTGATTCCATTCTGCCCAGGAGTGACATTTTAGAAGAACACCGTGTACAGCTAACCCTGGGGTGGGCAGGAGTGGGGTGGGGTCCTCTAATAAGAAAAGCCTCAGGGAAATGTCTTCTTCCAGGAAAGAATGGGGATGTCCTTCCACTCTCTAAAAATGCAGACCATTTACTGGAGCTCAAGACAAAGGTGAGCAAGCGCCTGCGCTAGCGCTGTTGAATCCCTGCCTGGCCTCCCTCCCGCACAGACTGGCGGGTAGAACTGCTGGAAAACAAGGCCATGCTGCCGGAAATTGTGTCCTGCGACTGTAAGTCCGTGCTCTCTGAATGGGCTGGACGAGCGGCTCTGATGAGAGGACAGTGATGATCTTCTTGTAATATGGGTACAAAAATAACATCAACATATTAAAAAACTCAAACAGTATTCAGAGGTAGACAATAAAAAGGGAACTTTCCTTTTGTCCCACATTCCCAACTCCAGTGCGTATTGCTGCCAAGTTCTTTGATATCTCTCCAGGAAAAAAATGGGAACCTATTAAGCAGAATATACCTTGTATTTTTCTTTACTTGGAGCCCCATGGTGGAGAGTTCCGACAGCACCAGGCATCTGTGTGCTTGACTGCCTCTGTGATTCTTTCCTTCTTCCCAGAAATAATTATTGCTTCCCCAGTCTTTTTCGGGGAATATGTGTGTATGTGTATATATAAATGCAATTACGTTTAGAAATAACTCTATTTTGTGAGGCCCCCCCTCAATTTTATATATATTGCATCCAACTTTTGCATTTTTTTCACATAGTATTTTTTAGAGGTCTTTAAAGCAGATTGCCTTGGCTAAAGCAGAAAATTGATCCTCTTGCCAAAGCTTTCTTACATTAAATGCCTCCCCGCTGAGCTCTCTACAGTGGAGCCTTCCTGTGAGGTTGTGTGTGAAGCACTCAACGGGCTGAGCTGTGCGTGCAGTACTCACAGGCTCTCTTGTTTTGGAAATCAGAGCCACACCAGGTCGGTGCTCTGCCTCTAAAGTAACCATAGTGACACAGCAGGTGTGTCCAGATTGTATGTGGTTGTTTGTGACTTGACCAGAGTGGCAAGGGCTTAAATATTCACGTGACAGTGGACTTGGACTGAATTAGACCCTGTTCGTTCTGTTCAACCCGTTCTGTTCAACCCCGTGCTGAGATTTTGCATTTCTGCCCAAGATATACTCAATCTGAATCTACATTTTAATGAGATCCCCAGGTGGCTCTGGGGCGGAAACGCAAATTCTCAGCAGAGCAACAAACCAGAATGAACTTGGTTTTGCTTGAATATTCACCTTGATTCTTAATTTTGCCAGGGTCCTGAGAACATCATTTGCAGTTCTGTCTCCCCTTGTGGAAATTGGATGGCTTATTCCACGGCCTCTCGGTTTTTTCTCTACCGGCTGAGTTATGAACATGACAGCATAAGCCTCCAACGGGTAGGTGTCTGGCTCCCCGTTAGAGAAACTTCCAGCATGTGTCATTTTGGGGTGAGGTGGAAGTGTAGGAGGGAGGAGGTTCTTTGGAGACAGTTGCTGAAAAGGACCTCTTTGCTTTTCTGCCTTGAATGTGGTTTTGGCAGGGTAGGGGAATGCCAGAAAGTGGCAGTCAAGTTTAGACTTTCCTGCTGATGGATCATCGTAACTGAGTTGCTTCCCGGATAGAGAATTTCACATTTGCTGAAGAGATGAAAAGGGGGGTGTTGGAGACAGGACACCTTCGTGGCATTTGAGTCTGGGTGATTGGTTTTGAAAAGCCATCGGCTGACGTCTCACCTCTCTCACTGTTGTTTCTCCCAAAGGTTCCCAAAACGCCAGCGTTCCTCCGCTCTGCCCTTCAGATTCTCTTCTCTGAAGACTCCACCTGGCTCTTCGTGGCATCCAGTCAAGGGCCTCTGCATATCATGCAACTGTCGGCAGGATGCTTCCAACACCTGCACACCTTCCAGCCCCCGTCAGGTGGGATTTGGTAACTGGCATGAGAAAGAGGGGTCTGTGTCCTAAGACCTTTCTTACTTTCCTCTCTAAAGCTCCTTGTCCTGGCGTCACCAGTGCACTTCCCCACCCTGCAGATCCACACTCCTCACGTTCTCGATGTAAAGTGGGAGGAGATTGCTGCCAAGTGAAGACACTTGATGGGATCTGAAGTGTCCTCACACCTACTCTTTTCTCACTGGGTTTCTGATTCCTTATTTGGGACCAAAGATGTTTCATCCTCCTCCTCAGAGCGTTGCTAGCGGAGCAAGAGGAGAGTTAAGATCATTTGTAATCCTGACACCCAGAAATAACAAGTGTTTCTATTTTGGCATATTTCCAATAAGTGTTTGTGTATGTAGGTATTTTGTGGACGTTTTTGTTTTGCTCTGTTGTTTTTACACGGATGGCAGTATTTTTGTGCATGCAGTTTCATTACCTGTGCTCCTTTAAACCCTTAGTGCATTTTTCCATCTTAGAGTATGAGTGTGTGTGTGTGTGTGTGTGTGTGTTGTGAACTATTGCTCAGTTAACTATTGAGGACTTAGTACCTGGCTCAAGCTCATCTCCACAGCAGTTCTTAGAATACTCCCCATGTCCTCTCCTCTCATCCATTGCCCTGGCGTACAGCTGTGTGGCCATCATCTGGGCACTATTAGCCTAAAGGGTCAACTTGGCCTCTCGTTCGTCAGGAGCTCCTTGGGTTAGGGGGCAGAAGGATTAAGGTGACAGTGGTTGTTGAGGGCCTGTCTACATTGTATTAGCCATTAGTGAAACTTTGCCGTCTTATCTTGCACTTCACCTTCAGGACAGAGTGAAATTGCTCTTTAGGGTTTCTGAGACGAAATCTTTATGGGAGGAGACAGCGTCAACTTTCTCCCACACACAGGGAGAGGTGGTGGGTTTAAATTGCTGGTCTTGCAGCCTAACTACGGCCTAACCCACAGTGCCATCAGTACAGACTGCATTGTACACGTGACTTTTTCTTCTTCCTCTCCCACTTCTCACTCCTTGCTGTTCATTTTTGCTCGCCCTGGTCAGTTACTACTGCCTCCATCCTTTTCTGTCTAGCCCCACCCAGCCTTTTAACATCCGGGTTGTGTCTTGTGAGAAAATATTCTCAGCATTGGAGGTGGGTGGAGGTGGATGGGTGGGTGAACAGGCAGCACGTATTGGTAACACAGCAAGCATCCAATTTGATCCCGCCCACCCAAGCATCCTACTGTCGTCTCGGTTTAAAGTGCCGTAATGCAGAGATGTGCCTCTAGCTCTAGTGCTGACGGCACAGCGGCACTCCCAGATTAAAGGCTTACCTCACGGCCACTGACCTGGCTCTTTGTCCATCGCTCTGATGGGAGCCGTGTGGCAGGAAGTGAGTTGGAAGCACTTCGTATGAATGGTGAATTTCAGTGGTAGATGCCAGTGGACTTGCCATCCCACAGGAGAATTCTTCCTTAGGCCTGAGCGAGTGATGCCTTCAACTTTACCTTTCTGGCTCCAAGGGTGATGGCTAATTTCGTGGGGAAAGTGGATAGGTTAGCATCTAGAACAATGGTTCTCAACCTTCCTGATGCCGCGACCCTTTAATACAGTCCCTCATGTTGCGGTGACCCCCTAAGAATAAAATGATTTTCATTGCTACTTCATAATTGTCATTTTGCTACTGTTATGAATTGGGCGACCCCTATAAAGGGGTCTCGACCCACAGGTTGAGAACCACTGGTCTAGCACGTCTTCAAAACTGTCAAGAAATTCCTCCCTCAGATCTAAAACCCTGAGAATTTTATTGGCTGCTGCCATACTTCTCCAGGCAGGGCTGGCTGTGAACATGAGGTGATTCTGAGATTGTGCTGTTTTTGCCTCTGTAGGGACCGTGGAGGCCATGTGTCTGCTCGCAGTCAGCCCTGATGGGCATTGGCTGGCTTCATCTGGCACCAGTGCCGGGGTCCACGTCTACAGCCTGAAGCAGTTGAAGGTGAGCATGGGCGTGAGGTGGGGCAGCGTGAGTCATTGTACGGGAGAAAGTTGCCTCTGCAGTTGTCAGCTTCCAGGCAAATTGCTGTGATCTGAGTGGTGCTTTCTGTAGCCACTAAACATGCTTTTTTTGTTTGTTTAGTTGCAAGGTGGTTGTTTGGGGGAAATGCTTAAAGTTCATTAGACTTTTTTTCAGAACCATTTTGAGTTTCAAGCATGATGCAAATCAACACACCTGGACCATCAAGTCTGTCTTAGGGGAAAGTGTCACAGCGTGTTATTTGTTCTCAGTTCTGCTATTTGTCCCCAGCCTCACTGCACAGTGCCTGCTTACAACTTCCCTGTGACTGCTCTGGCCATCGCCCCCAGCACCAACAACCTTGTCATCGCGCACTCCGACCAGCAGGTAAGAGAGCAGAGGGGCTAGGGCATGCCTGCTTGCTCCTTTCTCCCTGGAGGCTGAGCGTGAGGGTTTTGGGGTGCTTTTCTTGGACGATAGAGGTGGGTGAAGTGCCTGGTCCAGCCTAGGCCAGACACAGACACAGCTTGAGTGTGGTGGGACACCTTTGGCATGCTGAAGCACTGACATACCAAAGTAAAAGGAATAGGAGAGTGGAGGGACTGTTGTATAATGCTGATTGTTTCAGACCAGAGATGACGCGGGTTTAGGGGTCGAGCTGAATGGGAGATGGAATTAGACTTTGAGAATCTGAAAATGACTAAAAGTTCCTATCATGTAATTTGTTGTGGAGGAGGGAATCAAGTCATAGTGAGAAGATTTGGAAGGCCGTGTACCTAATGTAGAGTCTGTAATCTAGGGTCTGCATGGCCAATGGTTCAAATCCATCAGTCTCTCTTTAGGAGAACGGTAAAGCTGTCTGTAAAGATTCACAGCCTAGAAAGCCCGCGATGATTCTGAATTAACCTGATGTCAGCAGGCTTGGACTTTTGATACTAAGTTGACTACTTATGAGGAGATGTTGCTTTAAAATGCACATCTACAGAATTCATGAGATTGCTGACAAGTGTATACTCTCATCTGTAAATTGGGATGATAAAACGCATCCACTGAGCTGACTGGCAGGTTGAGTGTAATCCGCGAAGCACGTTTGCTTAGACTGCTAGGTGAGGTAGGAGGTGTGCACTGCTTTGGGTCTGCACTTAGCACACAGACGCCCACACTCAGCAGGTGTGCACATGCTGTGCCCGCTAAATGAAATCTCCCAGTTCGCGGACCTGCTCCCGTGACCAAAGACGGAGGGGTCAGTGCAGCCAGATCCTTGCCTTTATTGATCACCTTTTACTGGTATTTGGTTCCTTAAAGTGCTTCTGTTACCAGCATAGCAGAGATCAAAGAGTTGATATGACATAGTTTTGAGAGGGCACAGGAAAGTTACTTATTTTAAGTAACTTAACAATCTCTTTGGAGGATAGTTTGACCATGTCTTAAAAATTGGAAAATCCAGACTCTGATTCAAAACTTTGAATTCTGAGAGTTCTCCTACAGATATGTTTGCAGTTACACAAACACTGGACAGAGCCGATTTATCACAGGCTTGTTTGTAGACGCCAAGATTGAGAATAACCTCGATGTCATTAAGGCAAACCCATGAAGTGAGTGGAGTATTTTCTTTAGAAAGGCATGAATGATCCCTGTGTGTGTGTGTGTAGTTATATATGTGATTGGATCAATCCCCATAATGTAATGCCTAATGGGGAGAAAAGGTGCACAACGGTGTTTATTGTGTGCATAATCTATCTCTGAAAAGGTTTGAACACCACAAAGACATTTCTTATCTTGGGGAAGAGAGAGGACCAGAGTGGAGAGTGACTTTTCTCCATACCTTTGTTTGCTGTGTGAACATTTTGTTGTTCTGTACTTTACCTTTTAAATGGTGGCGCGGGAAGCCTAAGACTGACTGTGATGCCATCAAGGTTTGTGTGTGGATTTCTTGCACTCCTGGTCTTTCCTGGTGCCAGCCTGCATTTTCTCTGTACCACCTCCTATCCAGGTATTTGAGTACAGCATCCCAGAAAAACAGTATACAGAGTGGAGCCGGACCGTCCAGAAGCAGGGGTTTCATTACCTTTGGCTCCAAAGGGATACCCCCATTACACACATCAGTTTTCATGCCAAGCGACCTATGCACATCCTCCTGCACGACACCTACATGTTCTGCATCATCGACAAGGCCTTGGTGAGTGCCTCCCCACTGCCACCTAGCCGTGGCTTACAGAATCTCTGTTACTTAGAAGCCCTGAAGTGTGCCAGCAACAGGGACTGTGAGCTAGAGGAGGGAGCACTCCAATAAAGGTTTCTGGTCTTTTCTGTAGAGGAAGAGGAGCTCTTGTTCTGGACATTTCCTCCTTTGGGTTCCCATGCGCACGAAATTCTCGGGGAAGGAGCAGGGACTTGTTCTGGTTTTTGCTGACTTCACTCTTTGTCTCCTTGGGGGAGCATAGAAACACTTGGACGAGTGATTGAGTGTGTGCCCTTCTGAGGGGAATACCACTGATTTGCTTAAGTCACTTTCAGCTTTGCACTCCAGCCTTGAGAGGCGGGGTGATGAAGTTTCATGAGAGATGCTTGTTGAGGTTTTAACCACTTGTGCCAAACCTCCCCCTCCCTCCCCACCCCTTGGTTGAGTATACCACCTGCGGGCTGGAGGAGTTGGTCTGAGTGTTTTGAGAAAAAGCCTAGCTAGGAAAATTCCATTCTTCACCGCTGTGATTTAGGTGGGATGTGAGCCTTCAGTTTTTGGCTCCAGCCTCTCTACCAGCTGCTGCTTTGATTCACCCCAAATTTGCATGGCTTTTCTGGGTAGGCACTTTCCTTCCCGGGAACTGGGAAAGGCAGTCGTGCCCACGATGCGCCTTAGGCTTAGCTTCCAACCAGCACAGGGTGTTTGGGGCTCTCTGTTGAGGAGGGGGTGGATAGAACAGGAAAGCCGCAGGTGGCTCTAAAGGTGATGTGTCCTGGGAACACATCTCTTGGGCCCCGAGTCCTCTGCGTGTGGGCAGCCAGGCTGGCTGGCAAGTGCCTTCTGCGGGATGATCACTACAGGAAGGGCCCCTCCTCCTTGCTGGCCTCTTTGTAAGTCAGCCCAGATCATTTTTCCGCAAGCGTTGGTGATAAGCCCTTCACTTCCCTTATGCTGGGCAGAGCTATTTCCCAAGGAAGTCAGAGATGAAATATCATTTACTTGTCAAGAGGCCATCTCTCGAGGTGTCACTGACCTCGGAGGGTGGGGGGTGGGGGCGTTGGTGGCTCGTGTTGAAGCTTTGCCAGAGGAGAACTTTCGTCACTGGGGCAGTCGATGCTCTGGGTGAGGGAAGAGTCTAGAAATCCAAGCACTTGCATGGGCCGAGCTCCTGTGCGTGCCGGTTTGTTTCTTGCTGACAATGTGTTACCAGTGAGGCTGGCCAGAGGCCCCGGTCGGGCCCTTTGATCTTGCTGGCCTGGCCTGCCAAGTTCCCTCTTTACCCCATCCTCCCACCCGCTACGGGGTGCCTGGAGGAGTGGTTACCATGCTCTCCTTGCAGTAAGGAGATGGGCGGAGGTAGTGAGGATGAGGTACAACTATAAGAGGTGTTTACCTCGACAACCCTTACAGTCTTTTACCCATAGAAACCAAATACAGTAACAACTCAGAATATACATATATATCTTTTGTCTCTTTAGCCTCTTCCAAATGACAAAAGCTTACTCTACAATCCACCTTCTCTCACGAGTGAATCAGGTGTTGTCAGGAGGCGTACACCCCATGCCTTTAAAATTTCTAAGAAGTATAAGGTAAGGCATGTTCTCTTGCATTCTGGGGAGTTGGTTGCTTGCAGTTTTATCACAGTGTAATAACTTCACCACAGAAAGACAATGGCGTCTTTGTGTTCGATGCAGAGAACCTGGCTTGCGGGAGACAAGAGCTCTTTCTGAGCATGTGTGCCCCTTAAGTCTACATTGCAGGCCAAAACGAATTACCTAGGGAGCGAGAAGTGACAGGGGAATCAGCCAGGATCTTTGTTTCTGTTGAAGTTGACTTTCAAGTTTGAGTTCAGTTTGCAGTATCTTCCACAAGCTAAATTTCAAACAAATATGGAAGTCATTGAATTTATTAGGACCTTTTCCTTTCTGGGATCGGCTTTCACTGTATATAAAACAAATACCCATTAAATGTAGGGTACTACAGCTAATTGGGGGTCCTGGAATATCTTTTCAAGGGTTGCCGTAATTTTCTCTTTTTTTAAAGGCGGGAGGGTCTAAATGATTTCAGTGTGGTTGGCTTCTTGGCATCACTTGCCAGTGTGAAGCATTTTGACCCCAGCGCCCTCAGTTAACATTGAATCTACAGAAAGGAGGGAATCCAGGTTTGTTCTGACCAGAAAATGGGTGGAAAAGCCTGCCACAGTCTTTGCAAAGTGAAGCTTGCCCCCGCTTCCATGCACTTGAGGACCAGGTCAGGAGAGACGGGCAGGTGTTGCTCGTCCCAGGTGGTAGCCTGGTCCTGGTGGAATCACTGTCATCTCTCTGGCCTGCAGCCTCTCCTCTTCGTGGAACTCCTGGATGAAAGAACACTGGTGGCAGTGGAGCGGCCCCTGGACGCCATCATCGCTCAGCTCCCACCACCCATCAAAAAGAAGAAGTTTGGGACTTAAAACAACACCGCCTATTCCCGTCCTTGTACTGTCTGTCCTGTTTCTTTTCAGAGATCATGATAATAAAATACAGTTATTCTTGAGGGTTCGTCATTCCCAGTGTTACCTTCCAAAGGAATGCACGGTCACTTCCCTTCACTGGACAAACATGAACGGAAGCTCCGGGGCGTTTACGGCTGGGGATACTGTTCCGAATAGCCACAAACTCGGCCCTCAAAGTATTAGATTTTTTCAGGGTCCCGTTTGCTTTTCAACCACAATCTCAGAAACCGCTGACTTCCATTACTTAGCACCCCTGAAGGCCCCAGAGAGCTGCTGGCCTTCCAGCTCAAGCAGAGGCGTGGGAGCCTGCCCAGCATGGCCCTGGAGCAAGGAACAGCGTTTACTTTTGCAAGTCAAACCCACCACCCACCTCGAGGGAGAAAGATGAGGCTGTCTGCTCCTGCAAAGTTACAGTCTCCAATTCGCTGTGAAGGAGGCTTGATCTAGTGGCAGTGGGTTTTTGAATTACAAGTAGTGATGGCTATGCTTAGTGGTGGATGGGAAGAACCCCATTCGTTTACCTGAACAGCTGTGGTGGGTTCTGTTGCACACCTGCTGAACCAGTCCACGTGGTTTTGTGTGTGTGTGTGCATGGGGGGTGGGGGGGGGGAGGAAAAGGGTTGTTTGTGGGCAGAGGACTGTGTGGGTTCTGATGGCATCATCAGTGAAGCGCTGTCTTTTCCGGTAAGACAAACCCCACCCTCTAGCCTGGAAGGAGAAAGAGAATTTGAGGTAGATCCATGGGAAAGGAATAATAAGTAGTAACAAGGGAAAAACAGCCTAATCATTTAAAACATAGCAGACAGTTTGTTTCTTGTTCAAAGGGGGCAGATAACAAGGGGCTTCAAAGAGCTTGTGGCAAATGGAATAAAGGTTACAGAATTTTCCCACAAACTTTCTGAAGCCCCTGTCCTACAAGGTATGTGCCAGATGCCACATCCGTCAGCCCTGGGTGTTTAAACTTGGATGGTGTTACGAGTAATTAGACTAAAATGTGACAGCTTCTTTGTTTATCTGTGTACAGTGATAGCTTTCCTGTTCCACGTGTCAACATCCTGTGAGAGGGACCGTACCCCAGTCTGCCTTAGATGGGTCTTTCCATGTGTTCAGTCTGCTGAAGGGGTTTAGATCCTCCGGGGAACCCTGGGGGTGTCGTGTTACCTACTGGGCTGCTAACCAGCTGTTGTGAGGGAGGAAGATGAGGCTTTCTGTTCCCATGAAGACTGGTGATCTCAGAACCCCCCGGGGCAATTCTCCTCTGCCCTGCATGGTTGATAAGAGATTGGATTAACTTGATGGCAGTGTGTGTGAGTTTGTGTGATGTAAGGAGCCCTAATGGTGCAGCGGTTACGCACTCAATTGCTAACATACCCACAGATTGGCCGGTCCAAGCCACCAGCCATCCTACGGGAGAAAGATGTGGCATTGTGCTTCTGTGAAGGTAGTCTCCTTGGAAACCCCACGGGACAGTTCTGCTTTGTCCTATGGGGTCACTTGCTCTTTGGCAGATGCCGACTCAGAGCAACCTTAGAGTTGCCGGGACGATAACTCTGCAGGAGTAGAAAGCCGCCCCTGTCTCTCCCATGGAGGGCTGGTGGTTGCTGACTGCATACCTTATGGTGAGCAGCCCAGCGCTGCAGGGCTCCTGTGGTGTCACAGAGTTTAAATGGACTTCTTGGCAATGGGCTTCCTTGATTTATATGATTAAAACCCAAGTTCAAGTCACTGATCTAGTTGAATGTTTGTAATCAGAGGGAGGCAAGGATGCTTTGCCTATTAACTTGCTCGGTCTCTTGCTGGCTATAGAGCTATAAACCCAGAGAGCCCTTACTCACTGGAGTGCCCTTTAAGGCTTGACTGACTTAGCCTGAAGAACATAACTGGGGAGGCGTGGCATTCTGCCAGAGATGGCACCCATATCGTCCGGAGGGCGGGGGCAGAGGCAAACACTAGTGAAAGGGGAAAAGATTCTTTTGGAACTCTTCTAGCCAGTGATTGGGACTTCCATAAATGGAATGGGAAATGAGAGCTGTGGCCTTGAAATTCTTCCTAACCAGAAAACTCGAACTACAAAGGAAGCAGAAACTGATTGGAAAAAGTGAGACAATGGGAAAGTCAAGCCAGTTTGTTACCTTGGGGAATTGACAGAACGTATCTGTTTAAAGAACTTTCACCCTTGGCAATTGTTTAAGGTGGGGCATTTTGCAGGCTGCTGCTCAGACTTGGATCCAACGGAGTACTTGTTCTGGTTGGTTGGTGTTGTGAACCTGACTCGGATGCTTCCAAAATTAACAAAATCTCGTGCTGTCGTCAGCCACCTGACCTCTGAGGGGGCGTGGAGACTCCACATCCAACAGAGAAGACTAAATCTTGGAAAGACGAAGACCATCTTGTTTGGGGTTTTTGCAGGCACTCAAACTTCTTCATGTGGAACTTTCCTCTGAACCTCCCCAATCCCCGCCCCCCACAGCCCCCAATAGGGAACTGTGGTGTGGGGTAGGGTGGGGCAGAGCAGGATGAGAGGAGTGTATGAAAGAAACCCTGGGACTTTTGTCCCGACTTCTTGGATGGGAGGAGAGCCCTAGCAAAGAAGTGGTTTCTCATGGTCACACATAATGTGGTAGAGGACAATTGCAGTATCTTATATTGTGCCACTCCCCCACCCCCACCCCCCTAGTCTCTTAGACATAAGGACCCCGTCAGCAGTAGGGTGCACAAAAGGATGTGACTCTTCTTAGGCTATAGGGAAAACATGTACACATTTCTTGCTTTGAAAGGAGCTCTTGCTTTAACTATAATACGTAGTTGCCAGGGCTGTCTTTTGTGTGCATCATGAGGTATTGCAGGGAGGTAGTCTGGCTCATTGTCTTAAGTTTCTTAGGGTAAACTCATAGTGTGCCCATCGTTCACTTGTAGTTGGTGCTGCCAAGTTGTCCTGTGAAAGAGCCCATTTCCTTACACATTGCCAGTGTATTGAGAGACTTCTATTTAAGCCCATCTAGTGTGTTTTGCTTTGCATTTCTCTTGTTTATTCGTGGGGCTGGGGCTATTTTATTGTGTAAACTGTTTCCTCCTAACATTTCCCCCTTTTTCCTGAGATGATGTCATCGGCTTTCATACATCCAGTTATTTTATGATCTAGGTCTGTGCTGTCTAGTAGAACTTTGTGCCATGATGGGATTCTATAGCTCTGTTGTCTGTTATAGGGACTGCTAGCCACACATGGCTGTTGCGCTCTTTGGCTAGTGTGACTGGGAATGAATTTTCCATTTATGGGCTAAGGACAGGTAAAAGATACTGCCTCAGTCCTCAGAGACTTCACAGCCTAACGGGAGCGATAGGAGTAGATGAGGGAAGCCAGGTAAGACAGCACAGAGAATGGTCACCTGGCCGCTTAGTGTTACGGGGCAGGGTGGGAGGTGGAAGTTGATCCTTGAACTAATTCTTGGGAATGGAACTAATTAGCAAAGTAGAAGCAGCTGGAACCTCATTTGCAGAGGCCTGAAGCAAGAGTGGCGTATTCCAGAAACTGCCAATGGTGCCATGTGGTGGAAACACGGGATGTGTTGGACACGGAGGTCAAGGAGGCCGAGAGGGCTGAGAGCGTGCTTGTCTCAAGGTCAGGAAAGCTTCCCTCCAGAGGGTGACGGCTTCCCTAGGTGAGAGTGGCAGAGCCATGAAAAACCTGGAGAGGTTTAGAGGAAAGTTAAGAATGGTTTCCACAGAGAAGCCATTTAGGCTAAGCAGTTTAGGCAAAGTACACAGAAAAGACAGAGATTTGGATACAGAGCCTGCATATCACATGTGAGAACAACACAACCAGGGAGGGGTGGGCCTGAAAGTCCAAGGTTAATGAGTTTTCATTCCGTGGAACACAAGCTATGAGCCATTCAAAAGAATGGCATGGTATGTGTATATGTCCAGACGTGTACACAAGGGACTGGCTGGTGGGGAGATTCTTGACTTCAGGTCCCGTGGTGGGCTTCAGGGGCTTGTGAGTCCTCATAGCAGAAGACCGTGCACGAGTGTGCATTTGTCCGAGGAGAGCACCTAACCAAAGAAGTCCATGTTCCCCCAAACGGCTGAACCCTCTCCACTCCTGAGGAAGCTACCGCTGCTGGATGAAAGCCTAGAAATACCGTAGACATCAGTAAATACAGCGAAGGCCCTATGGCATACGAAGGACAAGAGTTGAATTTTACCAGGCTGAAGCTGCGAAGCACCAGAAATTCTGTCAGAGCCTGTGATGCTGGTGGGAAGAGTGGTGGACTTTTATTTTGAGACCTAATTTGAATTTCCTGGCAAATTACATAATTTCCATGACTGTCAACAGAAAACACTGGTGATTTTCCATAGCTAAGTGAATTCAATGAAACAAACCTTCTGCTTAGTATGTCTTTGCTAATATTTTCCTAAAAAGAAAGTCACAATGCTACAACTGTCACCAGCTGCTTCTCATTAAGAATGTGGTTAGCAGATGTGGCTTTCCATAGTCATAAGCATGAGATAGTTAATCATTTTTGTGGGTTTCGGATGGATAGTGATTTATTTTGGCGGGATGGTTTTTTTTTTAATGTGCTTGCATCAGCTAAAAATCATAGGCACCTTTTTCTCTCTCGCTTCATGCTTGATGCTGGAAAGGGGCTTTTGGGTATTTTCCCCCAAAGACAAAGTCACACTGCCTTTGAAAGGGGTCAGTTGATTTCACCTCCTCCTGACTAGGGAAGAGCTATGTGCAAAGGATTTTTCAAAGTTAGACGTTGGAAGCTTAGACGTTAGAAGCTTATTTCACAAGCTTCTCTCTCCTTTGGCTCATCTTCAGTAGTGAGCGGTGCTTGCTTCTGTCTCCTGGCACCAGCTGCCTTTGTAGTGGTGACCTTCAGGAGTGCTTGGGACTGCCGTTGTGCCCGGGGCCCTCCTAATGCAGTTACACAACACCCAGCCCATGGAACTAGCCCCAGATCCGACTGGTTGTCACTGAAATGAGGGTGGCTTTTTTCCTTTTAAGCTTAAGATCCAATGGCATTTTGACACTCCTTCC